TGGGCAGCCGAGTTGGGATTGGCGGAGGAGGACTATAAAGGAGGAGAGAGACGGCATGCACCGGGAACATCTATGGGGAACATCTAAGGGAACCCGTGCAGCCCCCGAGAAAGCCGACCGGCGGTGTGCCGCTCCCCTGCGGAAGTGGGGAATGTGGCCAGGGGGAACTGCCCTTCCACGGAGGTGGAAGGGATAGTAGCCAACCCGGGAAGAACCAGCAGCAAACCCGGGGAGGGCCGAGCAGACGAAAGAACAGCGCAGGGTCCTATGTTGCTCCTCCACGAAGAGGGGGAGCGACATAATGGTGCCGTGACTCGGATAGGAAACCTAGCTCGGATAGGAAACCTAGGACGGATAAAAAACTTAGGAGGGAAGAAACGGGAAGAACTAGGGAAAATATCGGAGAGAGAAACTAGCAAACAGCCTAGGGAAAATATTGGAGAGAGAGACTAGCAAACAGCCTAGGGAAAAGCCGGACGAAAAAGGAGCCGGAAGAAGCTATTGAAAGCCTAGGCATAGATTCGGATACGGACTACGGGGGGAAGCTGGGAGAAATCTCTAAGGTCGAAAGTGAAAGTGAACGCTAGAACAAACAGACTCGGACGCGGACTGTGGGGAGAGGCCAGGAGAAATGAGGGAAGAGTATTGTTGGAGGAAAGCTTGGGGAAACATACCGGGTAGAGAAAAATGTTAGGGAAATTGAAGCCGCGGGGGGCAGGCCAAGGCGGACACGAAAGCCACTTTGGGATTCTCAAGTTAGCCCGGGAATAGGGGGCGAAAAGTTGAAACTAGAAGCTGAAACGTGAGCCTGGTTGGGATCCGTCTGATTAGCCCGGGGAGCAAAGGACGGGAAGCCAAACCGTGGGGCGGAGACGTACGCTGGGTTGAATTCGCCAGGCTAGCCCGGGGAACTTAGATTGAATGCTAGTGGCGGACACGTAAGCTACGCTGTGTTACTCGCGGAAGCCGCCGCGTGCAGAGAGCACGGGGCGTGAATAGATAGGGAACGGGGCTGGCGCGAGGCTGTGGTTCAGACGCGAAAGGGTTAAGCGTGGAGACCGCGGAGCGCGCGAAGCCGAGCCGCGCAAAGCCGGGAAGCTGCGCAGATGAGAGAGGCGCGCGGGCTGAAGCGGCGCAGAGCCGGGAACCCGCCGGCGGGGCGAGGTGCCGGAAAGCCGCAGGGATAAGAGAAACAGAAGTTTGGAAGTGGAGTGAGAGAAATGGGAATGTTGGCAGACAGAAGTAAAATGGGAGAAATAGGAATGCCCGGAGATAGAGAAATAGAGAAATAGAAAGGCCTCCCTACAACACTGCAATGTGAGAGCTTGGATTCGGTCTGCCTGATTAAGTGAGGCGATGAGCACCTGGGCGGCTAGCAGCTTATGCGCCGCAGGTCACCGAAGACAGGCACGAATTAACATCAGTAAGGCTTCCCCACAATACAATTAGGAGGCTTGGATTCGGTCTGCCTGATTAGGGCGGTAAGCACCGACAGGCAGCTCGACCAGAGTATGAGCTGCAGGTCACCGAAGATAGGCACAAACCAACACTAATAAGTCTCCCCCACAATACGGCAATGAGAAGGCTTGGATTCGGTTTGCCTGATAGGTTTTGTAAACACCTGCAGGCAGTTCTAGCAGAGCAGAGCATGCGCTGCAGGGCACCGAACACAGGCACGCGTCAGCGCCTAAAAACCTCCTCACAACATGGCGAAGAGAGGACCCGGATTCGGTTTGCCTGATAGGACTTGTAAGAGCCTGTGGCAACTCTAGCAAGTAGAGCAGAGTGTGTGCCGCGGGACACCGAAGACAGGCGCGTATCAACGCTAAAAAATAAAAAGAAAGGGGGATCTGTGGGGAGCAATCCGGACTAGACTAAGTTACTCGAATTAGGACTTATTCTATGCATCTGCTCTCCCACAATATGGCGCTGGGAGAGAAGTAAACAGCTTCCGCACAGCTGCCTCCAGTTCAACCAATTAACTGTAGGACTTGCTCCTGATTGGAGAGCAGCGTACTCGGCGTGTGGGCAGCCGAGTTGGGATTGGCGGAGGAGGACTATAAAGGAGGAGAGAGACGGCATGCACCGGGAACATCTATGGGGAACATCTAAGGGAACCCGTGCAGCCCCCGAGAAAGCCGACCGGCGGTGTGCCGCTCCCCTGCGGAAGTGGGGAATGTGGCCAGGGGGAACTGCCCTTCCACGGAGGTGGAAGGGATAGTAGCCAACCCGGGAAGAACCAGCAGCAAACCCGGGGAGGGCCGAGCAGACGAAAGAACAGCGCAGGGTCCTGTGTTGCTCCTCCACGAAGAGGGGGAGCGACAGTAGTACACTCACATCATGCAAATGAAATGCAAAAAAGTATACAGTAGGAAGTCCATCCCACCAACCCTTCCCCATCTTCCCAATTCTTTTTATCCCCTGGGACCACCAAATTCATGAGATTCTCCTGTATCCTTCTAGATATATTTCATGCACATACAAGCAAAAACTGAACAAATATTCTCCCATTTTGTGTATAGGTGAAAGCATTCTATACACAGCTTCCTTGATTTTATTAAAAGATTTATTTATTTATTTGAAAGGCCGAGTTACAGAGAGGCAGAGTCAGAGAGAAAGAAAAGTCTTCCACCCTCTGGTTCACTCCCCAGATGGCTGCAACAGCCAGAGCTGTGCCAATCCAAAGCCAAGAGCAAGGAGCTTCCTCCAGCTCTCCTACGCAGGTGCAGGGGCCCAAGGACTTGGGCCATCTTCCACTGCTTTCCCAGGCCACAGCAGAGAGCTGGATTGGAAGTGGAGCAGCCAAGACTCAAACCGGTGCATATGGGATGCTGGCTCTGCAGGCAGCGGCTTGACTGCTACAGGACAGCGCTGGCCCCTGATTTTTTTTTTTTTTAAACCTAACAATACATCTAGGAAGTCTTACTGTATAAACACATAAAGCATTTTCTCCTGCTTTTTCTGGCTACATTGTATTCAATCTCCTGCCAGTGGGGCATATATTGATGACAATTATAAGCATTGCTGAATTGATTTATTTCTCACTTAAAATCCATCGATTCACTCCTCAAATGCCTACAACAGCAGGGAGAGGAGGGCGGAAGCTGGCAGCCAGGAACTCAACCCAGGTCTCCCACCTTGGGAGCAGAAACCCAGGTTGAAGAACAGTTGAGGAGGCTGGCGCCGTGGCTCAATAGGCTAATCCTCCACTTAGCGGCACCAGCACACCGGGTTCTAGTCCCAGTCAGGGCACCGGGTTCTGTCCTGGTTGCTCCTCTTCAGTCCAGCTCTCTGCTGTGGCCAGGGAGTGCAGTGGAGGATGGCCCAAGTGCTTGGGCCCTGCACCCCATGGGGGACCAGGAGAAGCACCTGGCTCCTGCCATCGGATCAGCACCAGCTGCTGCGGCCACTGGAGGGTGAACCAACGGCAAAAGGAAGACCTTTCTCTCTGTCTCTCTCTCTCACTGTCCACTCTTCCTGTCAAAAAAATAAAAAATAAAAATAAATTTATTTGAAAGGCAGAGTTACACAGAGAGGAGAGAGAGAGAGAGAGAGAGAGTCTTCCATCCGTTGGTACACTATCAAATTGGCTGTAACGGCCAGAGCTGCGCTGATCCGAAACCAGGAGCCAGGAGTTTCTTCCAGGTCTCCAATGTGGTGGCAGGGCCCAAACTCTTGGGCCATCTTCTGCTGCTTTCTCAGGCACATTAGCTGGGAGCTGGATTGGAAGTGGAGCTGCCAGGACTTGAACAGGTGCCCATATGGAATGCTGGCATCGCAGGCAGCGGCCTAACTCACTACACCACAATGCTGGCCCCCAAAATTTATGTTTTAAAAAAGGATTTATTTCTTTATTTGAAAGGCAGAGTGACAGAGACTGAGAGAGAGATTGAGAGAAAAAGATAGAAAGACTGATCTATCTTCCATCTGCTGGTTCACTCCCCAAACAGCCACACTGCTGAGGCTGGACCAGGCCAAAGCCAGGAGCCTGGAATTCCATCTGGGTCTCCCCTGTAGGTGGCAGCAGCCCAAGTACTTGAGCTGTCATCCGGTGCCTTCCCAGTCACATTAGCAGGAAGCTGGTACCAAAGTGGAGCAGCCAGGACTCCACACCAGTGCTCTGAAGTGGTGGCTTAACCTGCTGCCCAATGGGAAGCTGACTGCAAAAAAAATTTCTTACTGTTCTGTCATGTGGCCAATTTGGATCTACCAGATGAGATATTTTGTGGCACAGCTCATGTGGTGTTCTTTTGAGGTTTTATCTGATGCTGCCTTGTTGCCATTCTGGTTTTGGCTTATCCTATCTTTATGGGTCTTAGACTCAATCATCCCTAATATTTCTTTTCAATATTTGATGAGCCAGATTGTGTATCTGTGAGTGAATCTTTGAACCTCTCTATGAATTTGTGTTTGTTTTAAAGATTTATTTCTTTGAAAGGCAGAGTTACAGAGAGGCAGAGGCAGAGAGAGTTCGTTCTTCCACCCACTGGCTCATTCCCCAAATGGCCCACATGAGTGCAGGGGTCCAAGGCCTTGGGCCATCTTCTACTGCTTTCCCAGGCCACAGCAGAGAGCTGGATTGGAAGAGGAGCAGCAAAGACTCAAACCAGTGCCCATATGGGATGCTGGCACTGCAGGCAGCGGCTTTACCTGCTGTTCCATAGTGCTCCCCCAGTTTTTTTTTTTATGTAGCCTTGTATACAAACTTGTAATAGCTGTCTACACAGCATGATGAGTTTAAGTACATTTCCAACAGTACATTAGCTTGCTAGTATATTAATGTGACTGGCTAGCTTTAGGATCAGTAGTTATTTTATATTGTGTTGAAGCATCAGGTAATTCATGTTGTTTTATAAAAGATTTGTTTATTTGAAAGGCAGAGTTTACAGGGGATTGGGTGGGGGGGGAGACAGAGAGAGAGGTCTTCCATCCGCTGGCTCACTCCCCAAATGGCCACAACCGCTTGAGTTGGGCCAGACAAAAGCCAGGAGCCAGGAGCTTCTTCTGGGTCTCCCACGTGTGTGTTGGGGCCCAAGCACTTGGGCCATCCTCCACTGCTTTCACAGGAGCACTAGAAGGGAGCTGGATTGGAAGTGGAGCAGCTGGGTCTCAAACCATTGTCCATGTGGGACGCTGGCATTGAAGGCGGCGGCTTTACGAGCTATGCCACAGTGCATGACCTGGTTATTTTAAAGAGTATTTGAGGATTTTTTCAGAACCCTTTAAAATAGCATTTTAAAGAAGTTTATTGTTTATTAAAGATTTATGTATGCATGAATGCTTTTATTTGAAAGGCACAGTGAGAGAGACAGAGACGGCATGAGCCAAAGAATCTTCCATCTGCTGATTCATTCCTCAAAAGGCCAAAACAGCCTGGGCTGGTGTAGGCAAAAGCCAGGAGAAAGGGACTCCATCCAGGTCTTGCATGTGGGTGGCAGGGGCCCGAGTATTTGGGCCATAAGTTAATTTATTTTACAAAGCACACCAGCTATTAGATTATGTCTCTATGATTTGTTTTTAGTCGATATGCCCTAGAAAAGTCTAAAGTTTCATTATTTGAAAATCTGACTTCTGGTAAGGAATTGGATTCTATAAGAGCAACTGGACTACCTATGTCCTCTATCAAGCCTAGAACTGTCATTCTGTGTATTTACTAGCAGGCCTATCTACAAGTGATACTGCATCAAGATAACAGCACTGTAGTGTCCACAAGATCTGTTCTGGTCATGGATACTTTTAAAAAATTTATTTAACATTTTTCATTTTGAAAGGCAGAGAGAGATCTTCCATACACTAGTTCACTTCCCAGAAGGCCACAACAGCCAGGACTGGATCGGGCTGCAGCCAGGAGCCCAGATCTCCCTCTGGGTCTCCCATGTGAGTGGCAGGGACCAGAGGGCTTGAGCCTTCCAGGAGGAGGAAGCCGGCTGCCAAAAAGGAGCGGGGAAACGAAGCTACCGAAGCATTTCACCTGTTCATTCACTGCCATGGTGACTTTAAGTTTGGTTCTAGGAGGCTACGAGGTTATTTACCATAATAACATTATTCTAGTTTACTGATAGGGACCGACAAGACGCAGCTGTTGAGCAATTCAGTAACACAAATGATAAATGGTACAACTGGGGCTGTAACCCAGGCCTTCTGATTCCGAACCATAGATTTCCTCAAGTTGTCTCCCATCCCGTCCACAGATGTTCGCCCGGGCCCCGTCTTTCTCAGGATGAGTATTTTAAGTGAATGCAAAGTTAGCAAAGGGCAGCATCCGTCAGGCGCATGCGTTCCTTCCTTTTCCCACGGTAGGGAGAGCGCCTTGTCTTTTCCTTCCGCTTTGAACCTCTTTTGGCCCCGGCGAGTCGCCATCGCCCGTGCGGAGACGTTTGCAAGCCGAGGTGATGGCGACTGGAACGCCAGATCCGCAGGCGCGATTCGGTCAGTCCGTGAAGGGGCTTCTCACGGAAAAGGTGAACACTTGTGGCACTGACGTGATCGCGCTCACCAAGCAAGTGCTGAAGGGCTCGCGCAGCTCCGAGGTGAGCTGGGAGAGGACTCTCGGGGATGAGGGCTCCGCGGGGAGGGAGCCTTCCGCGGCGGGCGGAAGCGGTCGCGTTGCATCCTGGGAATTGTAGGCGCGCGGCGGGCCCGGTGTGTGGGCGCGTGTTGCATTCTGGGGCTCCTAGTCTCTGGTTAGGTTTCCAGGGTACCCGGTGCCTCGAAGGGGCCGGGAGTGGGGGGCGGGTAAGAGGGAGGAGGAGGGTGGGAGAAGAAACGATGAGATGGGAATCTGCTTTAAAACAGAGACACAGGACCGTGATGACTAGTGTTCCCGAAGTTCCTTATGTGGGGAGTTTGCTCTAACGAAGATCGGCACCCATCAGCCCCCCAGATCGGTTTTGTCCTTCGCCTCCAGGTTTCATCCACACTTTGGTGCATCGTCTGACTGTGGGCTCCTTCTTTCCTGATTTGTCTTTCTGGCTGCAAGCTTGGTTTTCTGTCCCTTAGATGAACGTCCTCCGTTGCCATGTTTCCTCTCTCTCTGCATCCTGTTTCCGTAATGAAGTAGTTGGATGGTGTTTCTCACCAGAAAGTTTAGAACAGGTGCATTCTGCCTCTCTCAAAAACAAAACCAGCTGTGAACTAGGTGGTCACGCAAGAGAAATGGATATATACATGAACTTATTCTAACCACCGTTATTCACGACTGCAACAAACTGCAAACAACCCAAAGCCCCTGGACAGGTGGAGAGATGAACTAGGTACAGTGACCTGGCCATTCCACCCATATGCATTTACTGAAAAAGAAATGAAAACACATATACACTATTGTGTTAGCTTACAAGATAGTCTGTTGGTTCACTTCTCAGATGGTTGGAACGGCCAAGGCTGGGCCAGGCCAGAGCCAGGAGCTTCTTCTGGGCCTCCCACATGGGTGGCAGGGACCCAACCATTTGGGCCATTTTCCGCTGCTTTCCCAGGCCATGAACAGGGAGCTGGATCAGCAGTGGAGCAGCCGCTGCTGGCGCCGTAGTGCAGTAGGTTAATCCTCCGCCTGCCGCACCAGCATCTTTTTTTTTTTTTTTGACAGGTGGAGTTATAGTGAGAGAGAGAGACAAAGAGAAAGGTCTTCCTTCCGTTGGTTCACTCCCCAAATGGCTGCTATGGCCGGCGCTGCGCCAATCCGAAGCCAGGAGCCAGGTGCTTCCTCCCGGTCTCCCATGCAGGTGCAGGGGCCCAAGCACCTGGGCCATCCTCCACTGCCTTCCCTGGCCACAGCAGAGAGCTGGACTGGAAGAGGAGCAACAGGGACTAGAACCCGGGGTGCCGGTGCCGCAGGCGGAAGATTAGCCTAGTGAGCCGCGGCGCTGGCCCAAGGTGCTTTTCTTAACATAAAGGATAAAGGATGTGGAGGGGAATTAGCTAGAAAGAAAGGGTGGAGTTGGGATTCAACCCCAGGTAGACTGGTGTGAGGCTTCCGTCTTGGATCCTGCCTCTCGTCAGTGCTGACTGGATTGAGCAGTCGCAAAGCTGCTGTCCCTCATTAAGTGCACTTCTTCCCGTTCTCCAGCCTCGTCTATTTTTCACACGAGCTTCGTCTACAGGCGACGTAGATGGGTGTGCAGGAAACCGTGTGGATTGAAATCAGCTGGGCTTTCTGGGATGGAGTTAGCGAATCATCTCTCCATCCTCTGAGCTTTGTGTTTTCACTTGTCTCCTGCATGACCTCAGGCGCTGCCTGGCCTGTGGCTGCAGTTAGCCGCGTGCTTCTGCCGTTCCTGTATAGACGCTGGGCTACTGGAGGGCCCTGCTGACTCGCAGACCCTTCCGGCCCACGGAGCACTGCTGCTGCTGCTGTGTCTCCTCCTCGCTACTTCGTTTGGTTGACTGACAGCTTCCATGTGTAACACACCCAGTCCACAGCTCTCATTTAACAAATATTTATCACGTGTGTGCCATGTGCTAAGAACTCTTGTTAAGTACAAGGGATGAACAAAACGAACTCCCTGTACTTAGGAAGCTTACACTGTCGGCAAGAGACAGACAGTACACAAATGGTGGTCAGGGCTGGGAAAAAAAATAAACTTGGGAACAGAGAGTGACGGAAGGGTCTCCTTTAAACGGGGTGGTGAGGGAAGGGCCATCTGGGGAGACGCCAGCGAACAGGCGGTTGAGTGCAGTGTGGGAGCGAGCCCTGTGGGTCTCTGGAGACCGAGTCCAGGCAGAAGAAATGGCAGGTGCGCAGGCCTTGGAATGGGAGTGTGTTGGGTGCACAAGGCGAGGCGTAGCAGCATCCCTATAGACCGTGAGTGTGGTGCTTTCTGGCACGCGTGCACTTCTGCACCTCCGTGTGAGATGTCTGTTTAGTGAGGGTTCGTCATGTTTCTGCTAAACCTGTGTATGGCACCTGTGCTTTCTGTAACTACATAGCTTAATGAAATAATATGGGAAATGAAGAAATAGGTGTGTGTGTGTGTGTGTCTAAGAGAGAGAGAGAGAGAGAGATGCTATTGCAATAAAAACTAAGATGAAAATCAAAACACTTCTCAAAGATGAATAAGACAAAATAAAACTGAGTTAATTGTGAGCAAGAGCGTGGTAAAAGCCCGGCAGAAAAATCTGTAGAAACCTAAAAAGACCTTCTGCTCAGAGTGTCTTGTCGGTGTAGTATAGAAGTTTTATTGGGAAGGAGGTGAAGCTGGAAATCGTGGTTGACTTGTGAAGCGCTGGGTTGGGTAGGGAGATGATGCATAGTGCCAGCCGCTGCACCTGCGATCCAGGCGCAGGCGTCGGCCCCACCTTCCGGGCTGTCGCGAGTCCCGTCAGCTCCCTGAAGGCCGCTTGGTGCCTGTGCTGCCGCACTGCTGCTGCTGCTGCGTGTCCGGCCCCCTCATTGCATGCCTGGGGCACGCAGTGTCCTCTCTGCCCGTCTCCACTGTGACCTTGCCACTTGTAAAATTTCAGGTTAGATGAGTTCTTAACCCTAACCTTTTCAGTGCCAGGTTAAGGTCGCTTCTTTTAGGGAGCTCCCCCTGGCGTGGGTTAGACCCTTGCCTTCCCGCACCCTCGCAGTGTGCTCTGTGCCAGCGCTTCCCACGAGGTGTCAGTGCCCGTGCCTTCTTAGTAGCCTCTCCAGGTAGTGGACCGCACGATTGCTGCTAGCAAGAGGACTGGCGTATTAGAGGCATTCTGTAAACGCTGGCTGAGCGACTGAGGGAGGGAAGGAAGTTCTGCTAGCGCCCTTTCTTTCTGCCCTCACTTGGTCGTCACCCCTCACCTACGAGTTTGAAGTTCGCCACTTGAAAGTGGCCGCAGCAGGGAGCAGCCCTTTCATACATCCTGCTGCCGGGGGTGTGAAGTGACCGGCCCAGGAATGGGGAATTTGCCAGGATGTATGTAGCAAAACTTGAACTCAGGGGCTGGCATTGTGGTGTAGCGGGTAAAGCCACTGTCTGCAGTGCTTGCATCCCATATAGGCGCTGGTTCGAGTCCTGGCTGCTCCATTTCCAATCCAGCTCTCTGCTATGGCCTGGGAAAGCAGTAGAACATGGCCCAAGTCCTTGGGCCCCTGCACCCATGTGGAAGACAGAAGAAGCTCCTGGCTCCTGGCTTTAGATCAGTGCAGCTCCGGCCGTTGTGGCCATCTGGGGAGTGAACCAGCGGATGGAAGACCTCTCTTTCTCCCTGTCTACCTCTGCCTCTCTGTAACTCTGCCTTTCAAATAAATAAATAAATCTTAAAAACAAAACAAAACAAAAAACAAATTGAACTCCGGCAGCCACAGGCAGGATTCTGAGTCAGTCCCAAAGATAACGCTGGCAAAGGGACGGGAAGACAGGTGTGAGGCTTTGTTGTAGCACTGATTATAGCGGTGAAGAACTGGAAACAACCCCGAGGTGCTCCTGCAGAAGACGGTTGAATTATCCCATGGTGCATCTGCACGGCGTGGGTGTGCAGTGGTGACAGAGTCAGGAGGAGATTCAGTGTGTGTGGCTGTAGATGGAAGGCGGGGATCCATTGTGACGGGAAAGCAGCAAGGGGTGGAAGAGCGTGTGTAGTAGGTTATTACCCTTGCTGCGACAAGGGGTAGGGAGAACGAATCCAGGCCCTCCACGCCTGGGAGTTCTGCATCCTTGGATTCATCCACAGGGATGGAAAGTGTAGCTGGGACTACAATGGTTGCATCTGCACTGAACATGTGCAGACTTTTTCACTTGTCGTTAGCAGCATAACAACTGTTTACATAGTATTTACACTGTTAGGTATTATAAGTCAGCAAAGTTTTTTTTTTTTTTTTCAGAGTTAAGAAAGACATAGGGAGAAACATGTCTATATCTATATCTATGTCTATGTCTATGTCTATGTCTACTGCTACACTACAGTGCTGGCCCAGCAAAGATGTTTTGAAGTTTAGGGGAAGGTGTACATTGGCTATATGTAAATACTGTGTCATTTTATAGAAAGGGTTTTTTTTTAATATTTTATTTGAAAGGTGGAGTTACGGGGGGTTAGGAGGAGACAGAGACAGAGACACAGAGAGAGAAATCTTCCATCTGCTGGTTCACTCTCCAAATGGCTGCAACGACCAGGGCTAGGCCAATCCGAAGCCAGGAGCCAGGAGCTTCTTCTGGGTCTCCCATGTGAGTGCAGGGGCCCAAACACTTGGGCCATCCCCTGCTGTTTTCCCAGTCCAATAGCAAGGAGCTGCACTGGAAGTGGAGCAGGCAGGACTTGAATAGGTGCCATATGGGATGCCAGTGCTGCAGATGGTAGCTTAACCCACTATGCCACAGTGCCACTGCCTATATAAAGATCTTAAGCATCCATGAATTTTGATGTTCTTGAAGGGTCCTGGAGCCTGTCCTCCAAGGGTAGTAAGGGACAACTGTACTGTGTGTCCATTTAAAAAGAGGCAATGGAAAGAGAAACCAAAAGCTTATAAAAGAGCTTGGCATGGGGGAGAGAGACCTGAGAGGGGAAGGGATAGGATGGAAAGTCTTATTTTATTATTTCGACTTTAAGATTTTTTATGTTATTTATTTGAGAGGTAGAGTTATAGATAGAGGGGGAAACAGAAAAAGGTCTTCCATCCACTGGTTCACTGCCCAGATGGCCGCAATGGCTGGAGCTGAGCTGATCCGAAGCCAGGAGCCAGGAGTTTCTTCCAGGTCTCCCCATGTGGGTGCCAGGGCCCAAACTCTTGGGCCATCTTCTACTGCTTTCCCAGACCATAGCAGAGAGCTGGATCAGAAGAGGAGTGGATGGGACACAAACCAGCACCCATATGGGATGCTGGTGCTGCAGGTAGAGACTTAGCCCAATATAGCACAGTGCTGGCCCCTGTTTTGACTTTAGAAACACATAAAGGCTTACTACTTTTTTTTTTTTCTTTGACAGGCAGAGTGGACAGTGAGAGAGAGAGACAGAGAGAAAGGTCTTCCTTTGCCATTGGTTCACCCTCCAATGGCCACCAGGGCTGGCGTGCTGCGGCCGGCACACTGTGCTGATCCGAAGGCAGGAGCCAGGTGCTTCTCCTGGTCTCCCATGCGGGTGCAGGGCCCAAGCACTTGGGCCATCCTCCACTGCCTTCCCGGGCCACAGCAGAGAGCTGGCCTGGAAGAGGGGCCACCGGAAAAGAATCCGGTGCCCCGACCGGGACTAGAACCCGGTGTGCCGGCACCGCTAGGTGGAGGATTAGCCTATTGAGCCGCGGCGCCGGCCAAGGCTTACTACTCTTAAAACTTAAGGGGGGGCCCAGCGCTGTGGTTCACTTGGTTAATCCTCTGCCTGTGGCGCCGGCATCCCATATGGCCGCCGGGTTCTTGTCCCGGTTGCTCCTCTTCCAGTCCAGCTCTCTGCTGTGGCCCAGGAGGGCAGTGGAGGATGGCCCAGGTGCTTGGGCCCCTGAACCTGCATGGGAGACCAGGAAGAAGCACCTGGCTCCTGGCTTCGGAGCGGCGCAGAGCCGGCCATAGTGGCCATTTGGGGAGTGAACCAATGGAAGGAAGACCTTTCCCTTTGTCTCTTTCTGTCACTGTCTACCTTCATATTAAAAAAAAAATCTATTAAAAAAAACTTAAGGGGGGCTGGTGCTGTGGCATAGTGGGTAAATCTGCCACCTGCAGTGCCAGTATCCCATAGGGGCACTGGTTCGAGTGGGAGACCCGGAGGAAGTCCTGGCTTTGGATCAGCGCAGCTCCGGCCATTGAAGCCAATTGGGGAGTGAACCAGCAGATGGAAAACCTCTCTTTCTCTCTCTCTCTGTCTCTCCTCTCTCTATGTAACTGCCTTTCAAATAAATAAATAAATAAATATTAAAAAAAAACTTAAGAAAGCCGGCGCCACGGCTCAATAGGCTAATCCTCCACTTTGCGGCGCTGGCACACCAAGTTCTAGTCCCGGTTGGGGTGCCGGATTCTGTCTGGTTGCCCCTCTTCCAGGCCAGCTCTCTGCTGTGGCCAGGGAGTGCAGTGGAGGATGGCCCAAGTGCTTGGGCCCTGCACCCCATGGGAGACCAGGATAAGTACCTGGCTCCTGCCATCGGATCAGCGCAGAAAAATAAGTAAAATTTGCAATGCAGAAAGAATGTGGGAAGTGCAGTAGTGATGTTTCTGGTCCTTTTTCCACCAGCATCCCCTGACCTCAGGTAACAGGAGAAGATCAGTGTGGGGCACACGTAACCATATTTCCCTTTGCATGGCCGGTTTTAGCTGTGCCAGGAGCAGGTGCAGCATGGGGCCAGCATCTCTCATGCTCTCTGATTGCTCTCAGTGCCCACATGGCAACCTCTGCCTGGACCATAGGCACCCAACTGGATTTGAGGTCAGCTTTTACCTCTTGGTTTCAGGGGTTTTTAAATTTTTATTTATTTATTCTCATTTTATTTTATTTATTTACTTTTTGGGGTCTTTTTTTTTCTTTTTCATTTCATTTCTAAACAGCTACTTTATCCTTTTCAGCCCTGCCCGGCTCCTGCCTCCCCCCCCCCCCCCCAAGCCCAAATCTGCCCTCTAAGCATCAGCAGTAGGGGCCTGGGCCAGCTCTGCCGGGCGACCTTGCTGTGCGTCGCCCTCTCGGCACTCAGGGGGCGGGTCGCACAGAGCTCCGCGGCCAGCAAGCCCCGGCTTGCTCCGGTGGTGACCTCTGCCCGTCCACCACTGCCTGAAGGCCAGGGAAATGAAGTTTGCAGTGTGAACAAATGGAACATTGCCCTCCGTTACAGTTGGAGGGTTTGTGGTTGTACGGGGGAAGGAGACGGGGTGGAGACGGGGTCGTGGTGTGACCGCTGCAGAGGGAAGTTTGGGGATTTTGCTGATTACCGTTTTATTTTTGCCTTCCAGCTGCTAGGTCAGGCAGCTCGCAACATGGTACTGCAGGAAGACGCCATCTTGCACTCGGAAGACGTAAGGCAGCGTTTCTTCCCGTGACTTGGATTTCACATGCATGGTTGGTGTGGCTGCAGCAAAGTGGAATGTTCCATTTCTCTCTTTCCCTCCCTACAGAGTTTAAGGAAAATGGCAATCATCACCACGCATCTGCAGTACCAGTGAGTGTGCTGGGAGGGGAGGGGCTGCGGGCTGGGAGCTCCCGTGGTGGGGGAGACGCCTGAGGCTGCAGGGCCCGCGGGGTGGGAGGTGAGAGCGGAGCAGTGGCCGCCTTTTATGAGCTTCCCTGTGTGCCTGTGAGACTTGCTCAGAGGAGCTCCTGACCCTCATGCGGGCAGGGCCCATGCTGTGCTCCGTGCTTGCACCCAGGCGCTGGTCATCTGTGCGCCCAAGGCCTCTCCTGGGGGCTCTGCTCTGCAGTAGGGCGTCCAGCGTCACTCTGACGTCTGTCCTGCATTTCCCCAAGTGGAACAGCACTGGCTGCACAGAAGTCATCCTGGAGACTTTCTCACTATAATTTTGGATAAAATGACAACTTACTTTGCTCTTGCTTTGATTCTGTTTCCCATTTTGTGTAGTTGAGATCATCCTTACGTACCCATTGGGAACACATGGTTGGGATTTAGCTCTTGCTATTTAAATAGCTGGTGTCTGTCATGTTCATTCTTCAGGTGTGTCTCGAACAAGCATGTGACTTGACTCCATCTCCCCAGACTAAATCTGAGCCGGGCATGTAGTTTTCAGGCCACGTCCTTCCTTCTAGGGAGTGTTTTTGCCTCTTTAGAGTCAGAACCCCTCTGCAGCATCACTGTGTTCCGACAGGAATCCTGTTCAGTAGCACAGTCTCACGCTAGGATGAACAGGAATGTGGCATGTGACAGAAGTTGGAAATTTGTCCTGCCTGTTTATGTCTGGCTGTTAATAACTTCAACCAGCTCACCGAGATTTCCTATGTTCATTTTTCCCTCTCCTTTTCTGATTTAGGCAAGAAGCTATTCAGAAGAAGTAAGTAACCCCAAAGGGAGGAGTAAGTAAGCTGCAAGGTCCGTGGGAAGAGGAGCTGAGGCAGGCCAGGGCACTGCTGTGCTCAGTCGCTGCGGGACCCTCGTTGACATATGCCCTTGAATTGGCATGTGCCTGGCCATAGCTCACTGGGGATTTAAGGAATGAAGTGTCTTTCAAAGGCGTGCAGGTCACCCCATTCACTCTGTAAAGGGCTTCTGGAAGCTGGAGTGTAGAGGCCAGGCTTCAGGAACAGAAAACGTTTACATCACTGAAGTCATTCAGTAGAATAAATGTGCAAGTCATTAAACAGCACTGGTTTGTGGGTGGATTAAATTTGTCCCTTGCAATATTGTCGACATCTAAATGCCTTTGCAAACCTTACTGGTAGTCTTTAAACACTTGTAGAACCCAAGTGGACCAGTAAACCATTTAGCTTAGCGGCAACAGTACACACACATTAAAGTACGAATGGCACAAAGGGACATCCTCATTGTACCTCCAGGTAAACCCTGTCCTCTGTCTAATTTCCAGTGTTGAGCAGTCATCAGATCTGCAGGACCAGCTGAATCATCTGTTAAAGTAGAAGGGAACAGAGGAGGGTGCCTTGCCTGGCGCGAGGCAGAGATACCGTATGCAGCCACGGTGCCGTGGGGCTGAGTTTCCATTTTCTTCTTCAGAAGTCTGAGAACTGTGCCGTCATACTGTTTCTCCTGAAAAGAAGCAAAGTGGTCGATAGCGGAATCAGACTAACCCATGCCCCTACTCAGTCTTTAAGTTGTTCTGTTTAGTTCAATATTAAAGCAAAATGAAAAGATGTCTTCATTTTTCCCGTAGAACTTTCAATACGTCAGGAGCCCCATTGTCTAAATGAACCCTTAAGCAAGTACTGAGTCCTGGTTTAAATTCAGAAATATAGCTTCTATTGTGAACATATGAGAATGATTAATATTTTAAAAACATTTTTCTTTGAACCATTCACTCGTAAAATAATTCCATGGTCAACGAGCATCTAAAATGATACCCATTGAAGTGAAATGGACACTATGAGAAACAAAGACATGATCAGCCCTTGTCTAGACTGTTGAGGAACAACTTACTATTTTATTCCTTTTAGTATTTTTGTTGTTGTTGTTGTTGTTGCTCTGTTTGTTCTACATAAGACCACTGGTTGAACTCTGTAATCAATGCACAATCATTCTTAGGCATTTAAACTTAACAGAAAAGTGATCTCTGTTAAACATAGGAGTGGGAATAAGAGAGGGAGGAGATATATAGGTTGGCACATGCTCACTCGGACTTACCTCCAATGGTGGAACTAGAAATGTGCCAGGGGATTTCAACTCAATCTTACCAAGGAGGCAGGTACCAATGCCAGCGCACTTGGTAAAGTGATAAGTATAAATACACAACCGATCAAAAAGATAGGGTATGTGTCAATGAGATTTCACAGATAAGACCAGTGTAAGCAAATAATGAAGGATAGAATTAAAAGGGAGAGAATGATCCTGTGGGGGTAACAGGACACACAGCAGACTCATAGAATGGCAAACACCCAAAACAGCACTCCTGCCTCAGAATCAACCCTTGGGACATTCAGATCTGGCTGAAAGGTCCATGAGAGTCTCACAGGCATAAAAAGTCATGACACGGTAGCAAAAAACAATCTAAATGAAAGATCCTGGTGAACAAGACCCCAGCAGAAGGAACAGGCCATCAAGGAGAGAGGCACCTTTCTCTGAAGGGAGGAAGGAACCTCCACTGTGATATGGCCTTGACTAAACAAGTTCAGAGTCGGTGAACTCAAGGGGCTTCCATAGTCTAGACAGCTCATAGCAAGAGTCTCGGGTGATGGCTGACATCATAAATAAGAGTGCCAATTGTTAAATCAACAACGGGAGTCACTGAGTACAGGCTCCCCACGTAGGATCTCTGTCCTTAATGTGTTCTACTATGAAACTTAAAAACAACACTACTAGTCGAACAATACCCTATACCTTGTGCGGTTGTGTGAGGGTAGCCTGTTGAAATCCTTGCTTAGTATATACTAAGTTGATCTTCAGTATATGAAGGTAATTGAAAATGAAACTCGATGAAGGGCGGGATGGGAGAGGGAGTGGGAGAGGGGAGGGCCACGGAAGGGAGGGAGGTTAGGGGGGAGCCACAACAATACAAAAGTTGCACTTTGTAAATTCACATTTATTAAATAAAAAAAATAACTATATAACAAAAAAAAGAAACAGAAAAAAAAAGAACTTAATACTTTACCCTTTTAGTATTTTTTATGTTCTACTTAAAACTATTGGTTGAACTCTGTAATTAATACACAATTACTCTTAGGTGTTTAATTAATGCTATAACTAGTACTCAAATAGTATTTTACACTTTGTGTTTCTGTGTGTGTGCAAACTGTTAAAATCTTTACTTAATATATGCTAAATTGATCTTCTGTATATAAAGATAATTGAAAATCTTGATGTGAATGGAAGGCGAGAGGGGGTGGGAGAGGGGAGTGTTGTGGGTGGAAGGGAAGTTATGGGGGAGGAGCTATTATCCATAAGCTGTACTTTGGAAATTTATGTTCATTAAATAAAATAAAATATAAAAAAATAATTCCATGGTCACTGGTAATACATGTTTTCTAGTAACTCAAAGGAGGTAAATTATTGGTTGAAGTAACTTCTATACTAAAATTAGGCAAATAGTATCCTATCTGGCCAGCTGCAGCCTCTTGCCTTGACCTGCATTCCTAGGGTGTCTTTGTTGTTCTGGCCTTTGATTAAGTGACCCTGGGTTCATTTTGTAATTTTGCTAATCACCAGCAAGTTCACTTATGTGACGTTATTGCCAAACACGAAAGTAGTTGAATTACTGTGTTATGGCACGGGGCCGTGCCATGATGAAAACCTTGATGTTTGGGGGCTCATCTTGTTAAGTGACATTACTACTAGTCTGTTATCAAGCCTGACTATCTTTACTGTGTTTGAATTTGAAATCGGACTCTGTCTTGTTATAGTTCAGTTCTTCATTTACTAAGGGTTGGAGAGAAAGCTAACATAAGAAAGTAGTGTTTCCAGGCCGGCGCCGTGGCTCAACAGGCTAATCCTCTGCCTTGCGGCGCCGGCACACAGGGTTCTAGTCCCGGTCAGGGCGCCGGATTCTGTCCCGGTTGCCCCTCTTCCAGGCCAGCTCTCTGCTGTGGCCAGGGAGTGCAGTGGAGGATGGCCCAAGTGCTTTGGGCCCTGCACCCGCATGGGAGACCAGGATAAGCACCTGGCTCCTGCCTTTGGATCAGCGCAGTGCGCCGGCCACGGCAGCCATTGGAGGGTGAACCAACGGCAAAAGGAAGACCTTTCTCTCTGTCTCTCTCTCTCTCACTGTCCACTCTGCCTGTCAAAATAAATATTTAAATAAAAAATAGAAAGTAGTGTTTCCACTGAAAGCAAGCAAGCAAATGAAAGTCCAGTGTCATTCAAACTGTGTATCATCAATTACCACATATTGGATTAACATTTATCTCTCATTGTACATATGCACATTCACTCAAGATGAAAAAATTAGGTGTTAAGGATGTGAAAGGCATTTACTTATGCATGTATTCTGTAAACATTTTTTTAAAAGATTTATTTATTTGAGAGGTAGAGTTACAGACAGAGAGAGGGAAAGACAGAAAGAGAGGTCTTCTTCACTCTCCAAATGGACGCAAAAGCTGGAGCTGGGGTGATCCAAAGCCAGGAGCCAGGAGCCAGGAGCTTCTTCCAGGTTTCCCATATGGGCACAGGGCCCAAGCACTTGGGCCATCTTCCGCTGCTTTCCAGGACATTAGCAGGGAGCTGCATCAGAAGTGGAGCAGCCAGAACTTGAACCAGCGCCCATGTGGGATGCTGGTGCCACAGGCAGAGAATTAACCTTCTATGTCACATTGCTGGCCCTTCTAAACATTTTAAAATAATAGTATTATTAAATTAAGTGTACTCAGTATACCTGTTTAAAGAAAGGCTACTGATTTAGGAAACAAAATAGTCCAATCGTTATAAGGAGCAAAGAAGTACTTAAGGTTAAAAAGAAAAAGATTAAAATGGAGGTGGGGACTGTGGCGTAGCAGGTTAAGGCACTGCTTGAGGTGCCAGCACCACATATCAGATCAGGTCCACCTGGTGTGCTTTGGGGCAGCAGATAGTGACTCAGGTACTTGGGGTCCTGCTACCTACACAGGAGACCTGGTTGGAGCTCCTGGCTCCTGGCTTCATACTGGCCCAGTCCCAGCTGTTGCAGGCATTTGGGCAGTGATCCAGCAGATGGAAGATTTCTCTCTGTTCTCTCTCTCTCTCTCTCTCTCTCTCTCTCTCTCACTCACCATGCCTTTCAAATAGGTAAGCCTGTTATTTAACTTTTTAAACAGTTAAAATGAAGGTGTATTCTAAGTTTCCTTCATGATGGAGCAAATATTTAAAAAAGTAGTGATTGCTTATGTTGCACACAATATATTTCACACTCAAAATTTTAATAAGAAATAAAATTTACACTAAATAATGGAAACCTGGTAGTACTGAATTTAATCACCGGAAAGAACATAATGCTAAGGTACATGACAGAAAAGAGCCAGAAATATGAGAACAGGAGGAAATGTATACACAATTCGTTTATTTTTAAAATAGAAATAAATAATGCATAGAGTGAAGTGATCAAAAACATGGAGATAAAAATACTTCACTAAGTAATAACTAGGCTGTAGAGAATATGCTGGAGGATAGTCTTTTAAAATGATGAAAGTTCAAATTCCATGCAAAAAAATTTATATTCAGATACCAAGGTGATGCTATACAAATAAGATCGTGCTGTAAAAATATTAGGGAGGCAGGTGTTTGGATTAGTGGTCATAATAGCAGTTAAGATACAAGTTAAGATGACCATGTCCCGGGGCTAGCACTGTGGCGTAACAGATAAAGCCACCACCTGCAGTGCCAGCATCCCATATGGGTGCTGGTTTGAGACCTGGCTGCTCCACATCTGATCCAGCTCTCTGCTATGGCCTAGGAAAGCAGTAGAACATGGCCCCTGCACCCACATGGGTGACCTGGAGGAAGCTCCTGGCTCCTGGCTTTGGGTTGGCACAGCTCCAGCCGTTGCAGCCATTTGGGGAGTGAAGCAGCGGATGGAAGACCTCTCTCTCTGCCTTCCCTCTCTCTGTAACTCTGACTTTCAAATAAATAAATAAATAAATCTTAAAAAATTTATTTCAGTTTGATGCTAAAAATTTGACTAATATAAAAATATCTAGCTTTTTATAAAGATACAGTATTGCAAAACTGACAGTTAAAAGAGACTACATTCAGATTGATCAGGAGAGAGAACCCATCAACTGTCAAAGAATAACCAATTAACATGGCATTCGCTTGTAGTCATGTTCCTGAGACTTTCCCAATGTGTAAAGAATAAATTGTTTCCATCTACTCTCAAAATATAGAAAGTGATAGTAAGACACCAATCTGGTGAAATAAATGTAATTTTCACTTTGGTTTTTTAGATTTATTTTATTTATTTGAAAGAGTTACAGAGAGAGGTCTCTCATCCCCTGGTTTCACGCCCCAAATGGCTGCAATGGTCAGGGTTGGGCCAGGCCGAAGCCAGGAGCCAGGAGCTTCCTCCAGGTCTCCCATGTGGATACCGGGGCCCAAGGACTTGGGCCGTCTTCTACTGCTTTCCCAGGCACATTAGGAGGGAGCTGGAACAGAAATGGAGTAGCCGGAACTTAAACCAGTGCCAGCAGCCTCACTTGCTAGTCAACAGTCAGGGACCAAGAGCATGTTTTAAAACCAAGAACCAAAGTAACATTTAGTGAAGATGAAAGAGTCATAGAACCCCAGAATATTAAAAGCTGAATGGGGCCTTAAAAGTTAGAATTCTGGCACAGTGTTCTGCAGGTGAAAGAACATGGAAAAATTGATGAAACTAAGGGCCCTGACTCTTTGTTACCAGTTCCCCTGTTCCTTTCCTAATAAATAGAAACAAGGGTACCACCTGCCATTTCTAGTTTTTAACATCATACTAAATTTTAAAGTTACTGATTCTCAGTTTATTTGAAAGACACACCCTGGTTCATGCTCCTAAATGGCCGCAGAGCCAGGCCTGGGCCAGGATTTGGGAACGCAGTCCAGGTGTTCCATGGACCCAAGTGCCTGAGCCATCATCCTCTGCCTCCGAGGTTGTGCATCGGCAGGAACCTGGAGCAGAAGCAGAAGAACCAGGACTTGCACGCAGCTCTCCAGTATGGTGTGAAGGCTCCCACGCGGAGACGACTGCTGAGCCAAGCGGCAACTCCCAATAAACTAAGAGAAGGAAAAGAGCTCGAAAGCCACTGAATCAGAATCATTTCACTCTGCTACTGCGTGTGCGGAAGGTAGCGCCCACCTGGTCAGCTCGCTTCTGCCCGAATGCTTCCAGTGTTTGAGGAATCCGTTCCTTGGCACGTTGGCCATTCTGGAAAGCTCCAATTCTTGAAAGATGGTTCTGTGTTCTGAACCAAAGTCTACCTCTCTGGACTACCCTGCAGTTGTCAGACCCATAGCTTCAAAGATGGAACTCGTGGCGGTATGCACGAGACCACACACGTAGGTAAGGGAAGAAAATCCGAGCCCATCTGTGTATGCTTGTTTTTCATGCTCAATAATTTGCTTCCCCCGGGGCCTGGTGCTGTGACGCACTGATTACTGTGCTGCTTATATCCCGTATCAGAGTGCTGGTTTGGGTCCCCGATGCTCCGCTTCTGACCAGCTTCCTGCTAAGGCATCTGGGAAGGGGGCAAAAGACGGCCTAAGTAATTGCCACCCACATAGGAGACAGAGGTGGAGGTCCTGGCTCCTGGCTTCAGCCTTACCCAGCCTGGCTGTGCTGGTCATCTGGGGAGTAAACCAGTGGGTGGAAGCTCTCGGACTCCCCTCCCTCGCCCCCCCCCCAACATCACTCTACCTTTAAAGTAAATGAATAAATATTTGTAAAAATTAGCGTTTCCTACTATGTAACATATGGTTCATAGGAGGGCCCGAGTCTGTGTAGTATACAGATGTATAGCATGCCTGTCGTTTAGGAGGAATAATAGTAAAGAATAAAACCTGTGGCTGAAGCACCAATCAGAGAGAATGATGGTCGCAGTCTGTTCCAAAATCAGCCCTGCACGCCAGACACGAGGGGAAACCGGGAGTGACTCAGTGTAGTTGATAGCTGTTTGCATTTTCGCAGTTTATCTGTGTGTGGTTAAGTGTTTTTGAGGATTATCAAATGAGTCTGCGAATAAACCACAGACTGAAGATAACTTAATAAGCAAGCACAAGTGAAAGAGGACAGAGCCGTTCCCCTAACCTCCTGCGTATCCGGCCCTTCAAGAGGAAAACAAGCCAGGGCAGCCGCTTGGCCTGGCGGTTGAGACGCCAGCCGGGGTGCCAGCGTCTCACGTCAGAGTGCCCACGCTCGAGTCTGGCGGCACTCCTGACTTCAGCCCAGCCATTCAGACTGGGGAAAGCGAGCTTACGTAGCTTGACGAAGAGAGCACACCTGACAAGCTGGTGGGCATCTCAGCAGAAGACAGAGAACTGAGCTGAGAGAAACACAACTGAGAGACCAGGTGGGCTCCCAGGAGAGACTGAGCACTGAGTCGAAATGCACCTGCTAGCCAGGCTGGCGTCTCAGGAAAGGGTTGGGGGCTCGGTCTGTATTCAGACTGGGGCTCATAAGGGAATGGGGTCCAGTTCATTTCTCCTTCTCCCCTTCCTCTTTTAGACAGAAGGCTTGCTGCGTGTGCCACAGATACAGTTCCTCCCAAGGTTTTAGTCCCAGTGTTATCAGACTGGGAAGGCCACCCGGTGCTGGGCAGAGGAGATCTCTCCCTGGGGAAAGGCAGGGCCCATCTACAAAGCTATCAGCGTGTGGACAGGACTGCTTCCCTCAGGCCCCTCACATACACAGGCTAACGTCTAACTTTCCCACCCGACAGACTGACCAGGCATTACCAGAGGTGCAAACGGATGTAGCCAAGTGGCTTACCGAAACATAACCCAAACAACAGCTGCGTGCTGTAGGAGTCCTTATCTGGAACATTCTGGAGCGACCGGGGGCGGGAAGAGGGAGTTGATTCCAGAGGGGCGGGAGAACCATTTTAGTCTAGATTGTAGTGATGACGTCTGTGTTTGTCAGAATTCACAGAACTGTATGTTAAAGATGAAGCTTACTGGACGTAAATTAAATCTCAATAAATCTGGCTTTAAACAACAGATTGAGAAAAGGTGATTTCATTCCGCAAATACGTGGGTGTTCTTAAGGTCCCAATACACGATTTAGTAGTGGAGCTATGACGGCGGATGCTGATGGCTATGATGTCGTCCCTGGGCTGGACGGGCCAAAGGCACGCGGACCCCGGGCCCAGCAGGTGCGCGGCGCCTGGAGGTCCGCAGGTCGGAAGCCTAGGGCGTGGGACGCCTGCGCGGAATTCAGGCTGGCCTGCCTGGGGCGGGGCCTCGGGCGCGCTGGGCCGCGGAGCTGACGTCCGCAGGCCGAGGAGACAGTAGTAAGTGTGTGTGACCCTCGCCCACACGCCCCGGCCCGCAGGCCAGGCCCAGAGCCCCTTCTCGCCGCCGGTCCTTCCCGCAGCCCCGCCGCGCCGCGCCGCGCCGCCCCGCGAGGTCTTGGTCCTGCCCGCACCCCCTCGGTCCACACCGCATGCCCCTCCGCCCCACAGCACCCTGGCCCTTTCAGCCGCCTTCTCCTTCTCTCGGCAGTGGCCGCCCTCCGCGACGCCGAGATCCGGAAGGACGTGCAGGTGAGAGCCTTGGGGGCCTCACTTGGAATGGCCGAGGTGGGGCCCCGGCGCAGGGGTGGGGGGTAGTCTTGGCCTGTGCAAGCCCTGGCGGCCCACGCCCCTAGTAGCCCCCTCGCTGGGGGGCGGGGCAGGGCCTGACTTAGAGCCCTGCAGGGAGCAAAGGTCAGCCAGTCGTTGGGACGAGGCGGGTGACGGGGCATCGAGGCCCACAGCTCCTGCTCTTGTTCCCTCTCTCCGCTCCTCCTTCCTTGCGTGGTCACTGCGTCAGGACTACTATGGGCAGACGCTGAAGAAATCTGCGGACCTCCAGACCAATGCTTGTGTGACCCCCGCCAGGCCTGTTCTCAAGCACGTCGGGGAAGCCCTGCGGAACGTGCACGAGGAAGTAGCCTTGCGGTAGGGTGCCCCGCGCTGCACCCCACCCCGGGAGGACCCTAGATGGCAGCTCTCCCAGCCCGCTAGGGAATGAACCCAACTCAGCTCAGCACTGTTCAGCTCACGGCTGTGCCCAAGAGCCTCCAACGGCAGCCCTGCCTCTCCGCCCAGGGCTACAAGGCGGGCATTACACTCCTTGGACCTGCCAGTCAAGGGTGTTCACAGTTTGACCCTCTCTTCCCATGCACCTGTCTCCTCTGACCTCTCCCTTCGCCTCGTTTGTCTGCACTGCCTGCCCAGCCAGCAGGTACCACCTGGAATGCATTCCCTTGCCTTTCTGCCCTCCCAACACCTTGCTCGTGCCCTGCCTGCTTCCTAAAGATTTCTGGACTCCTTGAGCCCCTTCCTCCCCGAGGTAAACACGCAAAGGGGACAGAAGGCTGCTTGGAGTTCACAGCCCTGGGCCCCCTTTGAAGTTCAGCTAATGAGAACCCTTTTAGCCTGCGTATTTAACGCTGACCACCTGGTGCCGTGCGCAGCAGTGTCGGGGTGAAGCGGACACAGTCCCAGCCCTTGTGGAGCTTCCAGTCCAGAGGCAGACGAAACACCTACGTCGGAACGGGAGTGAATGACGGGATCGAGGAAGGGGGAGGAGGAGTGTGTGCACTCTAGTGGTTTGTTGTCCTCTAATCTCTGTGGGAAACATGTCATTTTGACTTCCAGGTACTATGGCTGTGGTCTGGTCATCCCGGAGCGTCTGGAAAACTGCTGGGTTTTGGATCTGGGTAGTGGGAGTGGCAGAGACTGCTACGCGCTTAGTCAGCTGGTTGGTGAGAAGGGACGCGTCACTGGCATAGACATGACCAGAGGCCAGGTGAGGCGCGGGGGGACAAGGAGGAGCGCATCGCCCCGAGCGCCTTTCCCTGCAATCTGCAAGGGTGGCTGGAGACGGCCCCTGCTTCCCAAGATTCAGCTGTGCCCCGTGCTGCTTGATCTGGAAGCAGAAAACAGTGCGACAGCTCCGGGCTCTCCTGGGAGGTGTGGGGGACTCCCTGCTGGAGTCTGAGCTCTGCACACACAGCAGGGATGCCACATCCCCTGGCAGTCGGTGTCCAAATCCAGTAGAGTGTAAGGGAAGAATATCCCGTGTTAGGGAAAAAATGGTATAGTTTTAAAAACCATTGATCGTTCAATCTATATTTTCCTTTCTTGTAGGTGGAAGTGGCTAAAAAGTATCTTGACTACCACATGGAAAAATTTGGTTTCCAAACGCCCAATGTGACTTTTGTCCATGGCTACATTGAGAAGCTGGGAGAAGCTGGAATCAAGGATGAGAGTTATGATATTGTGATGTAGGTTCTGTAGCCTTCCGGGTATACTGTAGCTCATTTCCTTTTGAGCACACAAAATGTCATATTTTTGCTGAATTGACTCTCATCTAGGGTATTAAATTAGACTTGGCAATGTCTTAATAAAGGGAGAGAGCTTGTCTGAGCTGCTTGTAGCAGAGAATACAATAGCCCAGAAGAAAATTTTTTTTTAAAAGATTTATTTATTTAGGCCGGTGCCGTGGCTCAATAGGCTAATCCTCTGCCTTGCGGCGCCAGCACACCGGGTTCTAGTCCCAGTCGGGGCGCCGGATTCTGTCCCAGTTGCCCCTCTTCCAGGCCAGCTCTCTGCTGTGGCCAGGGAGTACAGTGGAGGATGGCCCAAGTGCTTAGGCCCTGCACCCCATTGGGAGACCAGGATAAGCACCTGGCTCCTGCCTTAGGATCAGCACGGTGCGCCGGCCGCACCTGCTTTCCCAGGCACATTAGCAGAGAGCTGGATCAGAAGTGGAGTAGCCAGGACTCTAACCAGTGCCCATATGGAGTGCCGGCACTGTAGGCAGCAGTTTTACCCACTATGTCACAGCACCGGTCCCTGATAAATCTTTTAATAACAACAACCACCACCACAACAAAAACCTTGCTTGGGACGCCTGTATCCGACGTTAGAGTGCCTAGGTTTGAGTCTGAATCTGGTTCTGATTCCAACTTCTTGCTAACGTGCACCTTGGGAGGCAGCACGTGGTGGCCAGGTTCTTGGGTCCCCACCACTCATAAAGGAGACCCAGATTAAGTTCTGAGCTTCTGGATTTGCATTGATTGGTGCAGGCATGTGGGGTGTGAACCAGCAGATGGAAGATATCTGTCTTTATTTTTCTTTCTCTCTACCTGTCAAATAAATAGAAACTTAAAAAATTGCATGGACTTGAAAAAAAATTCTGCACCAAAAGAAACTTACCTTTTAAGTTAATTTCTTCACAAACTTTTTGAAGTACCCTTGTACAAGTAGAAGGAGTATACTATAAAATGAGGATATAAGCATAGTCAGTTCATAAGCCAGTAAGAGTTTCTTTTGTAATCATCATGTGGCAGTGACGTACTGTTGATCATTCGCACGCGGCAGCACCACAAGCTTGAGTAGTGTTGTGTTCCAATCTCCAGTGTCCCTAGGTGATAGGAAGCTCTCAGCTCCATATGATCTTCTGGGACCACTGTCATGTATTGTAGTGTGGTACATGACTGTATTCTTTTCCTGGGAAAATAGTATTTCATTATGGGGTTCCCTGTTTCCCTTCTGACTTGTCAAATCACGCCCAAGGGACAACCTTAGGACAGCTGCCTTAGGAACTGCTTTTCGCACGTGACTTAAGAACTGCCTGGAACAGCAGGCATCTGGGGCCTGGCTTTGTCTTGTCGCCTGACGAACATCAGGGCAGAAATGCAGAAGAATCGTGCCTGGTGTCTTCATTGTCACATTCGAGCTTGGTCTCAGTGTGTTGGGATTTTTTACACACTTTGCACTTCTCCCTTCCCATGGGGGAGAGTTGAGTGTGGGGAAGGGAGGTACTGAGGGAGGCAGAGAGGATGGGGACGCTCCCACAGAATGCTCGGAGCCACTTCCAGGAACGCAGAGGGCGTGAAGGTCTCCGAGCGGCGTGTGAATTTGCTGGACGTGACAGCGTGTTCTTTTTTCAGATCAAACTGTGTTGTCAACCTCGTGCCTGATAAACAGCAGGTGCTGCAGGAGGTGTATCGAGTGCTGAAGGTGAGGAGGGCGAGGGTGAGGGAAAGGATCCATTTACCTGTGTGGTCGCCGAAGTTGTCTGTGCTTTCCGTCCCCTCGGAACTGAGAGCTCAGACGTACCATTTATGCACCCGGTTAAAGAGGAGTGGGGAAGGGGGGCATGCGGGGATATCCCAGCTGTGGCTGCCTCTCCCTCCGAGGTCCAGGGCGGTGTTGAGCAGCTGCGCATGCTCGCTCTCTTGGCCGTCTCTGCCCCTGCTTGCTGCCGCTGCTCACGAGCCCAGGAGTACGTCTGCAGAGCTGCAGGGACTGTGGGTGGCTGCCAGCCATGCCGTGAGCCTGCTCTCCTGGCACACGTGCAGTGTCTCTCAGAGCAGCTGACTTCCTTTCTTTTGAAAACTTTTTGTTTATTTATTTATTTATTTGGGAGGCAGAGAGTTAGAAAGACAGAAAGCTCTCTCCACTGGCTTGCTCCTTAAGTACCCACTAATAGCTATGGGGCTGAAGCCAGGAACCGGTAATTCAACCCAGGTCTTTTTTTTTTTTTTTTTTTTTACATTTATTTTTTTTTATTAGGGAGGGAGACAGAGATCTTCCATCTGCTGGTTCACTCCCCAAATGGCCACAGACCAGGGCTGAGCCAGGCTGAAGCCAGGAGCTTCTTCCAGGTCTCCCACATGGGTGCAGGAGCCCAAGGACTTGGGGCCATTTTAAACTGCTTTCCCAAACACATGAGCAGGGAGTTGGATCAGAAGTGGAGCAGCTGGGACTTGAACCGGTGCCCATATGGGATGCTGACACTGCAGGCAGCGGCTTAACCCATTAGGCCATGATGTTGGCCCCCAACCCAAGTCTTCTATACGGGTTGCAGGACCTCCATTACTCGAGGTCATCACTGCTGTCTCTCAGGGGCTTCTTCTTCTTTTTTTTTTTTTAATTTTTTGGCAGGCAGAGTGGACAGGGAGAGAGAGACAGAGAGAAAGGTCTTCCTTTGCCGTTGGTTCACCCTCCAATGGCCGCCGCGGCCAGTGCGCTGCAGCCAGCACACCGCGCTGATCTGAAGCCAGGAGCCAGGTGCTTCTCCTGGTCTCCCATGGGGTGCAGGGCCCAAGCACTTGGGCCATCCTCCACTGCACTTCCTGGCCACAGCAGAGAGCTGGCCTGGAAGAGGGGCAACCGGGACAGAATCCGGCGCCCCGACTGGGACTAGAACCCTGTGTGCCGGCACCACAAGGCGGAGGATTAGCCTAGTGAGCTGCGGCGCCGGCCTCAGGGGCTTCTTCAGCAAGGAAGTTTGAGTAGGTAGTAGGAGGGCATGGAACCCAGGTACGGTTATATGGAAAATGGGCCAAGCGTTCACCCCTACTTCTTATCTGTTAGGATTTCAGCTCTTCGGGGAGCTAAAGAAGGTGGGACTTTTACAACTGTTTTCTGGAAGGAGGACTTGCAGGAGTGCACAGCCTTCCTGGGTGTCACGAGCTGTGTCTAGGGTGGAGGTGCAGGACTGTGGTGCAGCTCAGTTGGCAGTGTCTGTGCAGATTCGATTCAATGCTGTCTTGGTCCAGATGTCACTGCAGAGGCCAGCTCACAGTTCTCACTAAGATGTACTTACGAGAGCCAGGGCTGTATTGCTGCGTGTTAAAGCCCTGGCCTGCAGTGCCTGCGCCAGCGTCCCATATGGACGCTGGTTCGAGTCCTGGCTGCTCCACTTCTGATCCAGCTCCCTGCAAATGTGCCTGGGAAAGCAGCGGAGGATGGCCCAACTGCACTGATGTGGGAGATCTGGAAGAAGCTCTTGGCTCTTAGCTTCAGATCGGCCGAGCTCCCGCCGTTTTGGCCATTTGGGGAGTGAACCGGGGGATGGAAAATCTCTCTCTCTCTCTCTCTGTCTCTACCTCTCTCTGTAACTCTGTTTTTCAAATAAATAAATATTTTTTAAAATGTACTTAAAAGAACAGAGACATTATTGTAGACTCTAGATCTCTGTGCTTTTAGCTAAATTCTTGAGTTCCCACTTACTCATTTGCCATAGATTTTAAGGACAACATTTCAAGAATATAATGTATTGTTATAAAACCAAGTAACACCAGAAGACTATCTAATTTTCAGGTGATAAGAGTTTATGAATACTGTTTTGTCCTTTGTTACTTATACATGAACCCAGAGCTGCATTTGGTTCAGACTGATAAAAACTTGAGATAATCTGAGTGTCTTTATTTGGAAGAGAGACTCTTAGAAAGTGATTTTACTCTCTGTTGGGTAGATCCCTGAACACAGATCCTGAGACTTGCTAAGGATTATAACCAGGGAGGCAGCTGGTGGCTCACAGAGGATCAGGCAAACACTTCCCTTGGTTTTTCAAACTTTGTTCTCTCATCCCTTCATTTGTTATCTGCGATCGATTTAAACTTTAGCCTTGTTGGAACTAACACCACTCTGTTTCAGCATGGCGGGGAGCTGTATTTCAGTGACGTCTACGCCAGCCTTGAACTGCCAGAAGAAGTGAGGACTCACGGAGTTTTATGGGGTCGGTGTCCCTGTTTGCTTTGATTTAAGGCAGAGCCCCTTTCTGCAGATAGCCAGGTATGAGATCACACAGGACAGGGAGAGAGGCCGAGGCTGCTTTCTTCCGCTGTCACTCACCAGCGATAAGACCTTGGACAGTTGCATTCATCTCTTCGAGTCATTGTTTTCCAAACTGTAAAATATAAAGGCTGTTAGGAAGGCTGAACGGGACAGTGAATGTGAAAAATGCCTGGAAAATGCAGCGTGGAGATGAAGGCGACTTCCAGCGTGGGTGCTGCCGCAGCCCCCCTGTGCTCATCGCGCCCATGTTGTTCCTTGCTTTGTTGTCATCTGCACGGGGTCTCTGAAAGCTGAGATCCATGCGTGCCTGTGCTCAGTCTGTGGACTCAAAAGGCTTTACTTTTAGAATGGATTTTTTAGCTTTTTTTCTTATTATGCAGTAATAAGTGGATTTTGTTAGAGTTGGAAAATATTTAAGAAAGAAAAAAATTGGGGCCACTGTAGACACCCCATATAGTGCTGGTTCGAGTCCTGGCTGCTCTCTTCTGATGCAGTTCCCTGCTAATGTGCCTGGGAAAGCAGCTGAAGACAACCCAAGCGCTTGGGCCCTTGCACCCACGGGGAAGACCTGGAGGAAGCTCCTGGCTCCTGGCTTCAGTCTGGCCAAGCCCCAGCTGTGCCAGTCTCTCTCTCTCTCTCTGCCTCTCCCTTTCCTTTCCCCCTCTTTGTAACTCTTTAAAATCATTTTTAAAAAGTACTTATCATATAACCTGGTAATAACCTCTTTAATGTTTTAGCATAAATTCTTCTAGTTCTGTTTTTCATATGTGCATATAATGTTAGTATTTGAATTTTGTTTATTTAGCATGTTTCCTAAGCCTATTTATTTTCTTTTTTTTTTTGTTTTTTTGTTTTTTGTTTTTTTGACAGACAGAGTGGACAGTGAGAGAGAGAGAGAGACAGAAAGAAAGGTCTTCCTTTGCCGTTGGTTCACCCTCCAATGGCTGCCGCGGCCGGTGCGCTGCGGCCGGCGCACCGCGCTGATCCGATGGCAGGAGCCAGGTGCTTCTCCTGGTCTCTCATGGGGTGCAGGGCCCAAGCACTTGGGCCATCCTCCACTGCACTCCCTGGCCACAGCAGAGAGCTGGCCTGGAAGAGGGGCAACCGGGACAGAATCCGGCGCCCCAACCGGGACTAGAACCCGGTGTGCCGGCGCCGCAAGGTGGAGGATTAGCCTATTGAGCCACGGCGCCGGCCCTTTTTGTTTTTTTTTGTTTTTTGTTTTTTGACAGACAGAGTGGACAGTGAGAGAGAGAGAGAGACAGAAAGAAAGGTCTTCCTTTGCCGTTGGTTCACCCTCCAATGGCTGCCGCGGCCGGTGCGCTGCGGCCGGCGCACCGCGCTGATCCGATGGCAGGAGCCAGGTGCTTCTCCTGGTCTCTCATGGGGTGCAGGGCCCAAGCACTTGGGCCATCCTCCACTGCACTCCCTGGCCACAGCAGAGAGCTGGCCTGGAAGAGGGGCAACCGGGACAGAATCCGGCGACTAGAAACCGGGACTAGAACCCGGTGTGCCGGCGCCGCTAGGCGGAGGATTAGCCTAGTGAGCCGCGGCGCCAGCCTATTTTCATTTAAAAAAAAAATAGAATTGGGGATGGACTCGAGTAGAGTTAAGTTTTTTTTTTAAAGAATTTATTTATTTGAAAAGCAGAGTACAGAGAGAGAGAGAGAGAGAGAGAGATCGAGATCTTCCATCTACTAACTCATTTTCCCAAATGGCCAAAACAGGCAGAGCTGGGCTGGCCTAAAGCGAGGAGCTTCTTCCGGGTCTCCCATATGGGTGCAGGGGCCCAAGAACTTGGTGCATCTTCTGCTTTCCCAGATGCATTGGCAAGAAACTGGTTCAGAAGTAGAGCAGCTGGGACTCAAATTCTAATCGGCAACCTCATGGGATGCCAGGGCTGCAGGTGCCAGCCCCTGTTTATTTTCATTTTATTTGAAAGGAAGAGAGACAGAGACCTACTTGCTGGTTCATTACCAAAATGCCTGCAACATTCAGGGCTGGGCTAGGCTAAAGCCTGGAACTTGGAACTCAATCCAGGTCTCCCACATGGGTGGCAGGGACCAAAGTACTTGAGCCATCACCTGCTGCCTCCCAGGGTGCGCATCAGCTAGATGGGAAGTGGAGTAACTGGGACATGAAACAGGCACTCTGATGTGGGACACAGGCATCCCAAGCAGCAACCTAATTGCTGCACCAAATGCCCACCCTAGAAGATTTTTAAAAATACTTTTATTACAGAGATACCATACTTGAACCATTTTTCCACTGGTGACCATTTAGTTCATTTCCAACTTATTGGAACATCTCACACCCACTTTTTTTTTTTTTTAATTTGACAGGTAGAGTTACAGACAGTGAGAGAGACAGAGACAGAGAGAAAGGTCTTCCTTTTCCGTTGGTTCACTCCCCAAATGGCCGCTACGGCTGGCACTGCGCTGATCCAAAGCCAGGAGCCAGGTGCTTCCTCCTGGTCTCCTATGCGGGTGCAGGGCCCAAGCACCTGGGCCATCCTCCACTGCCCTCAAAGGCCGCAGCAGAGAGCTGGACTGGAAGAGGAACAACCGGGACTAGAACCCGGCACCCTTATGGGATGCTGGCACTGCAGGTGGAGGATTAACCAAGTGAGCCACGGCGCTGGCCCCTGGCACACCCACTTTTAACCATGACTTCTATTTTATTTATTTATTTATTTTTGACAGGCAGAGTGGACAGTGAGAGAGAGAGACAGAGAGAAAGGTCTTCCTTTGCCGTTGGTTCACTCTCCAATGGCCGGCGCGGCCGGCGCGCTGCGGCCAGTGCATCGCACTGATCCGAAGCCAGGAGCCAGGTGCTTTTCCTGGTCTCCCATGGGGTGCAGGGCCCAAGTACCTGGGCCATCCTCCACTGCACTCCCTGGCCACAGCAGAGAGCTGGCCTGGAAGAGGGGCAACCGGGACAGAATCCGGCACCCCAACCGGGACTAGAACCTGGTGTGCCGGCGCCTCTAGGCGGAGGATTAGCCTAGTGAGCCGCGGTGCCGGCCATTAACCATGACTTCTAGACCTTGGGATACATACACTCAGGTTGGCTTCTGTGTCCAGGACCTGCCTATGTTTTAGCTGATACCATGTCCTAATCAATTGCATAAAACAGTAATTTCCTTAATACTATTTCGAGTATTGACTGGTCTGTGATTTTCTTAGGTGAGTGCCTGGGAGGCGCTTTGTACTGGAAGGATCTCGCCAACTTTGCCAAAAACATTGGGTTCTGCCCTCCACGTTTGGTCACTGCCAATCTCATTACAATTCAAAACAAAGAACTGGAAAGAGTTGTCGGTAAGAAACAATAGCCTGGACGGCCTTAAATCAGTGGCTTGATTCTGTGGAGTGAGCCTCACTGAGGGAGATTTGTGTTGTCTGGGAATGTCCAATCTGGCTCTAGTATAATGGCAAACCCCAGAAGGCTGGCGCTTACTACAGTGTTCTGCAGGCACTCCATAGAGTGAAGCCAAGCAAGGTAAGGAGGTGACCATGAGCAAATGCTCTTTTTAGGTGACTGTCGTTTTGTGTCTGCAACATTTCGCCTCTTCAAACTTCCGAAGACAGGACCAGCCGAAAGATGTCAAGTTGTCTACAGTGGAGGGATCACAGGACATGAGAAAGAACTGATATTTGATGCAAATTTCACGTTTAAGGTAAATAAGGATTTCCGTAGCTTCCAGCACCTTTTCCCCGGCCTTGCTGAGGGACTTTTCTCTTGACCTTCTTTTTTTTTTTTTTTTTTTTTTTTTTTTTTTTTTTTTTGACAGGCAGAGTGGATAGTGAGAGAGACAGAAAGAAAGGTCTTCCTTTTTGCCGTTGGTTCACCCTCCAATGGCCGCCGCGGCTAGTGTGCTGCGGCCGGTGCACCGCGCTGATCCGATGGCAGGAGCCAGGTGCTTATCCTGATCTCCCATGGGGTGCAGGGCCCAAGCACTTGGGCCATCCTCCACTGCCTTCCCGGGCCACAGCCGAGAGCTGGCCTGGAAGAGGGGCAACCAGGACAGAATCCGGTACCCCGACCGGGACTAGAACCTGGTGTGCCGGCGCCGCTAGGTAGAGGATTAGCCGAGTGAGCCGCAGCGCCGGCCTTTTTTTTTTCTTAATTAATTTATTTTTTATTTATTTTTATTTTTTGGCAGAGTGGACAGTGAGAGAGAGAGACAGAGAGAAAGGTCTTCCTTTTCCGTTGGTTCACCCTCCAATGGCCGCCGCGGCCAGCGCGCTGCGGCCGGCACACCGTGCTGATCCGATGGCAGGAGCCAGGTGCTTCTCCTGGTCTCCCATGGGGTGCAGGGCCCAAAGCACTTGGGCCATCCTCCACTGCACTCCCTGGCCACAGCAGAGAGCTGGCCTGGAAGAGGGGCAACCGGGACAGAATCCGGCGCCCCGACTGGGTCTAGAACCCGGTGTGCTGGCGCCGCAAGGTGGAGGATTAGCCTAGTGAGCCGCGGTGCCGGCCTCTCTTGACCTTCTACTGCTTCTCACTTTCTGGACTTTGCTTGTTCGTGTGGGGGTTTTTTAAGTGGATTAGATTTTTCGCCCCAATATTTATTATAAAAATGTCTTTACATACAGAAAAGTTGAAGAAATTGTGCCATATGTGTGAATGCCTATATGCTCATTACTTATTTCAGCAATTGAAAACATTTTGCCATATTTTGCTTTGTTGTGTATGTAAATATATATGTGTAGGTGTATATGCATGCATATATACACATAAATATATATTTGCTGAATCGTGGAAAGGGCATTGTGAACGCCATGACACTTTAGATATTTCCATTTGCATCACCTAAGAATAAAATAACCTCTTCTGTAACCACAATACCTTTAACATGCCTAAGGAAGTTTTGTTTTGCGATGCTTTATTGTGACATAAGAGTGGGGGAACTAAAGATAAACGGGATAGAAAAGAATAGGAGGCTGGCACTGTGGCTCACTTGGTTAACCCTCCGCCTGCAGCTCCGGCATCCCATATGGGCTCCGGGTTCTAGTCCCGGTTGCTCCTCTTCCAGTCCAGCTCTGTGCTGTGGACTTTGAGGGCAGTGGAAGATGGCCCAAGTGCTTGGGCCTGCACCCGCATGGGAGACCAGGAGGAAGCACCTGGCTCCTGGCTTTGGATCGGCGTAGCTCTGGCCGTTGCGGCCATTTAGGGGGTGATCCATTGTAGGAAGCTCTTTCTCTCTGTCTCTCTCACTGTCTAACTCTGTCAAAAATTAAAAAAAAAAAAAAGGAATATGGCAAAGCTATTGTGGTTGTTTAATTGTATCATGCTGTCAAGGAATTTTGTGTATATGATGAGTGGTAATGTTTTTCCTACTCTGCACAGTAAACTTTGTTTTTTCAAAATGGGAAAGTACAGGCTTTGGAATCAGCTACTTGGGTTCCAGTTCTGGATGTGTTGAATAAAGTTGAGTTAGTCACCAAAATCATTGAGGTGCAGTTTGCTCCACTGTAGAATTGGAAATGAGGATGCCTACTTTGCAGAATTTCCCTAAGGATTAGTAATAATACTTAGAGCAACACGTTTGGTACATCCTGGAATTTCGGTTCAACAGAAGGCACAGTCATGAGTTGTCCCAAAGGTGGAAGCACTGAGTTTCCCTCTGCAGAGTTTTTGGCCCAAATAAGGATCTTTGGATTCCTTCCTTCCTTCCTTCCTTCCTTCCTTCCTTCCTTCCTTCCTTCCTTCCTTCCTTCCTTCCTTCCTTCCTTCCTTCCTTCCCTCCCTCCCTCCCTCCCTCCCTCCCTCCCTCCCTCCCTCCCTCCCTCCCTCCTTCCTTCCTTCCTTCCTTCCTTCCTTCCTTCCTTCCTTCCTTCTTTCCTTCTTACAGGTAGAGCCATAGACAGTGAGAGAGAGAGACAGAGAGAAAGGTCTTCCTTTTCCGGTGGTTCACCCCTGAAATGGCCGCTACGGCTGGCATGCTGCGCCAATCCGAAGCCAGGAGCCAGGTGCTTCTTCCTGGTCTCCCATGCGGGCACAGGGGCCCAAGCACCTGGGCCATCTTCCACTGCCCTCAAAGGCCACAGCAGAGAGCTGGACTGGAAGAGGAGTAACTGGGACTGGAACCTGGCGCCCATATGGGATGCCGGCGCTGCAGGCGGAGGGTTAACCAGTGAGCCACAAGCCAGCCCCAGGATCTTTGGCTTTCTGAGGCAGCACGTGGCGCAGCATGGCCCCTGGTGCTTTTCCCTGATAATGCTGCCTGCTTCCAGACTCGCATAACAGGAGTGGGAAGGGCCTGTGAAACCACTGATCTGATCTAGAGGTTTGCAGAAAAAACACTTCTAATCCATTTTTTAGAGCAAAATCTACACCACCAGCTCTGACGCTGTCAGGCATGGTCACCCTGTTACAGGATGTGATGAAATACACTGTGGAGCCCGAAGCCTCCTCTTTGCTGCTGACCTGGGTGAAGCTCAGGGGACAGTGGCTTCCACGTCCAACTCTGGGCAGAGAGTAGACCTGGGGGCAGTGAGCGTCCTCTCAGCGCCACCTCCAAAAAACATGGGTTGGGACGCTGGTCACTTCCATCTGAGAACAGATGCAGCGGGTCTGGCTCTGCGAGCAGCCCCGCGGGACAAGCTGTGGTCTCTCTTCCCAAGTGCTGCCCGTTAGGGAACGACGGGGCGTTTTTCTCCTGTTGCCACTAAAGCAGCCTCTCTCACTAGGTGCTTCTTATGCTACCCTTCAGAAAGGTGAACTCCTGGAAGTGGATGAAGAAACAGCCATTATCTTGAAGAATTCACGATTTGCTGAAGATTTTCTGTTCCAACCGATTGCAGAGAAGCCGCCGGCCTCTGGAGCCTGCCCTGTGTTAGAAGCCAAGGTCTGTTTAGCTCTCAGTTCCCTGTCTCAGAGAACCATTGGAAAAGTCACTGTGTGTGCCGCGGACTGCTACTAAAGCAAGAAGCCAGTCGCGGTCTTTGGGGTTGTTCACCGTGGCTTATTTCTCGCGTATTTGTATCTACCCAAGGATTTCAGTTGGTTTCATAACTTTGCTTTCTTGGTCCTGGCCTGGAGGCCGAGACTCCTCCCTGGGTATATCTGTGGATGCACTCCAGGACGTCCTGAGCCCCTGAACTGGCTCCAGTGTGGGGTGTTGGACTGCAGACAGAGGCTTCCCGCACTGCGCCAGTATCTTTCTTTTCCTTTCTCTCTCATCTTTTACTTTTTACCATGCTAGCATGATTACTTTATTAACACGTGGATTAACTTATAATGTTTTGTTTAGAACAGATTTAGTGATGTATTTCAAGACATTTTTAAAAGAAAGATTTACTTATTTTGAAGGCAGAGTGACAGAGAGAGAGAGAGAGAGACAGAGAGAGCCCATCCTCTAGTTTACTCCCTAAATGGTCACAACAGCTGGGGCTGGGCCAGGCTAAAACCAGGGGCCCAGAGTCCCCTCTGGATCTTGCACACTAGTGGCAGGGACTCAGACCTGCGTTCTGGTATGGGATGCAGGCATCCTCAGTAGTGGCTTAACCTGCTGTGCCACAACGCCCGCCCCTGGGAGTTCCTTGGGACTCCCAGCCTTCAGCCGAGTCATGACCGTGATGCAGCTCAAGGCACTGATGTGAGAGCCTGTGGGAATAACCTCCTGATAGCGCTGGGACAGGATCATGGCCTGGGGTGACGTTTCACTGTGCAGGCCTTGCAGTCCGATAAACCAGCTTCAGATCCTGGCTGTGCCACTTCGGCTCACGTCACCTAAGTTATCTAATCTCTAAGCCTCATGGGTAATAAGGAGGTAGTAATGACATTTTTGCCCTTTGGTTGCAAGGACCAAATGAAATGACATATGTGTGATGCTTAACCCAGTGACTGGCACATAAAACACACTCAAGAAGTAGAAGCAGGGGCAGGCGTTTGGGGAGCCCCATTCCATACTGGAGAATCAGCTCCTGATGCCGGCATTCTTGCTAACACGCATCCTGGGAGGCAGCCTAAGTATTTGGGCCCCCGCCATCCGTGTGGGAGACCAGGATGGAGTTCCTGGCTGTTGTGGGCATTTGGGGAGTGAGCAGCAGATGGGAGATCTCTGTCTGCCTGTCTCTATCTTTCCAATAAAGAAAGAAAGAAAAGAAATAGAAGGAGTTACACTTACAGATTCATACTCAGTAGAATTCTTGGTTGCTTGGGACTGAGTTCTAGATTCTGAGTGCTTGGGTTCTGACCAGGATTCTTGGCAGGATTCCTCTAGCCTTCTCCCACGTGCCCTTTCTCCTGGTCTCAGGAATTCTGTAATTTTTCTCCAACATCTTTTTCCTTTTGTTGCTTGTGTTTTGTAGACATTTTTGGGTATGTTGCCTATACACTGATATACTAGTAATGCTGCACACTGTTTTCCTTCTTTTTTTTTTTAAGATTGATTGATTGATATAAAAGTCAGTTACAGAGAGAGGAGAGATAGAAAGCGAGTGAGCGATCAAAAGAACTTCTATCCACTAGTTCACTTCCTAAATGGCTGCAATGGCCAAGGGTGGGCCAGGAGCTTCTTCCAGGTCTCCTATGTGGGTAGCAGAGGCCTAACCAACGTGGGCCATTTTCCATTGCTTTCCCAGGCACGTTAGCAGGGAGGTGGATTGGAAGTGGAGCAGCCAGGACACGCCTGTGTGGGATGCCAGCATCATAGGCGGCAGGATTACCTGCTGTGCTACAAGACCAGCCTGTGTGTTCTCTTTTTTGTTATCTCATAAGCAACCTTTAAGAGTAAAGCTTATTTAGAGATCACCCTCGAAGATGGTAAATCTGTAGTTGGAGGAAGGTGAGTTGAATCCAAAAGAACCAGTGGGGCCCACAAAGCTGTGTGTTCTTCCGTGGCCAGTGCTCGCCAGCACAGACGCGCCCAGGCTGCCGTGCAGCTGAAGCCTGGCTCCTCTCTTGCTTTGCTCTGAGCCTGGGCGCTTGGCTACTGCTACTTTTGGGAGATTGTTTGCAGTGTAGAGAGACTTGACTTTCGACTTCAGAGTCAACGTTCCACCGGTGTGCTTGTTGCTGTGGTGAAGCTCTTGGGAGTTGACAGATAACAAAGTGCCCTGGTCAGGACCGATGTCCATTTGAGATGTTTGCCTCCGCTGACCTTCCTGACTGCTCTCAGAGGACTGCAGTGGAGGGGCCGCTTCCTCCAGCCACATTCCCGGGGTCCCCCTGCCGCTGGAGCTGCGAGCGTGAGTTTGCACCCAGAGGAGGCCGTTCCCCCCAGCGCCGCCGCCACCCTCCCTATCCGTGTGCCTGCAGCTCGCACACAGCAGAGGTCATGACCTCAGATAGGAGCAGTCCTGTTCTGCGCATTTGACCTGGTTTATCTCAGCATGCCGAATTTATTTCAGCCTGCAGATGTGCCAGTGTCGTCAGATCAGTTCCAGGTTTTTGAAGCGGGAGTAATGGACACTGAAGGGAGATTTAAAAAGTGAAGCAGCTGCGTGGCCTAGAAATGCAACCTTGTGCTCTCGGGGGAGGATGCTCCCGTCTCACCCGTGGCGGCCTTCCACGGTAAAGCCTGGCAGGCGGCCTGTAAGGGTGGGCCGGGCAGGGGCCTTCCAGCGGCTGCTGCAACACAGGAGTAGAAAGGGCTGCTGCTTACTGAGATCCACTCGGGGGAGCCTGTTTTGGGGAGTCCCTTCTGCTCTTTCTTTTCTTCTTTTTAATCTTGACGAGCCAAGTGCATTGTGCTATGAAAAAGATGTTGTTGTTAAAATACTGCAGCGTCTGCTCTGGCGCACCTTGCTTCAGCTAATGGTCATGGTCATGATAACGCGAACCACAGAAGCAGCAGCACCGGGGCCTGCGTGGGCCATGCTGGTTAAGCTGCCCCCCGTGACGCCTACATCCCCCATCGGAGGGCCAGCTCAGAGTCCTGGCTCCCGTCCTTTGACCCAGCTTCCTGCAGCAGTGCCTGGAAAAGCAGCACGAGATGGCCAAGATCTGTGTCCCTGCCACACACATGGGAGATCAGGAGGGCGTTCCTGGCTCCTGGCTTCAGCCTGGCCTAGCTCTGGCAGTTATGGCTATTTGGGAGGTGAACCAGTAGATGGAAGATTCTTCCCCCCGACCCCCACCCAGCAAGCAGAGTTAGACAGTGAGAGAGAGAGAGAGACAGAGAGACAGAGAGAGAGAGACAGAGAGACAGAGAGAAAGGTCTTCCTTCTGTTGGTTCAGTCCCCAGATGGCTGCTACGGCCAGCGTGCTGCGCCGTTCCGAAGCCAGGAGCCAGGTGCTTCCTCCTGGTCACCCATGCGGCTGCAGGGCCCAAGCACTTGGGCCATCCTCCACTGCTTTCCCGAGCCACAGCAGAGAGCTGGACTGGAAGAGGAGCAACTGGGACAGACTCCGGCGCCCTGACCGGGACTAGAACCCGGGGTGCCGGCGCCACAGGCGAAGGATTAGCCTAGTGAGCCATGGCACCGGCCCTCTACTGCCTTTCAAGTAAGTAAATAAGCCAATTGTTTTGGGGCTGGCACTGTGGCATAGCAGGTAAAGCCATCGCCTGCAGTGCCGGCATCCCATATGGGTGCTGGTGTGAGTCCTGGCTGCTCCACTTCTGATCCAGCTCTCTGCTATGGCCTGGGAAAGCAATAGAAAATGGCCCAAGTCCTTGGGCCCCTGCAGCCCCATGGGAGACCTGGAAGAAGCTCCTGGCTCCTGGCTTTGGATCAGCACAGCTCCGGCCATTGTGACCAATTGGGGAGTGAAGCAGCAGATGGAAGACCTCTCTCTCTTTGCCTTTCCTCTCTCTGTACAATTCTGACTTCCAAAATAAATAAATAAATCTTTTAAAAAAGACTCCATAAAAAGTAAATCATTTGGCCAGGGCCGTGGCTCACTAGGCTAATCCTCTGCCTTGCGGTGCCGGCACACCGGGTTCTAGTCCCGGTCGGGGCGCTGGATTCTGTCCCGGTTGCCCCTCTTCCAGGCCAGCTCTCTGCTGTGGCCAGGGAGTGCAGTGGAGGATGGCCCAAGTGCTTGGGCCCTGCACCCCATGGGAGACCAGGAGAAGCACCTGGCTCCTGCCATCAGATCAGCGCGGTGTGCTGGCTGCAGCGCACCAGCCGCAGCGGCCATTAGAGGGTGAACCAACGGCAAAGGAAGACCTTTCTCTCTGTCTCTCTCTCTCACTGTCCACTCTGCCTGTCAAAAAAAAAAAAAAAAAGTAAATCATTTAAAAAATCAATAATACAGAGGGCTTTTATTGGACAGTTAATATGTTCAAAGCACCGTGTCACTTAGTCTCACAGTAACCCATATTATACCCATTTTACAGATGAAGAGAGTGAGGCTCAGAAAGATTAATTTATTAATCCAGGGTCATACCGCTAAAAAGTGGTAAACTTGAACCTGTGTCTAATTGTGGAGCTGACACTTTTTTTTGAATTATTTATTTGAAAGTCACTGTCAGGGGCCGGCACCGTGGCTCACTTGGTTAACCCTCCATCTGCAGCACCGGCATCCCATATGGGCACTGGGTTCTAGTCCTGGTTGCTCCTCTTCCAGTCCAGCTCTCTGCTGTGGCTCGGGAGTGCAGTGGAGGATGGCCCAAGTGCTTGGGCCCCTGCACCCGCATGGGAGACCAGGAGGAAGCACCTGGCTCCTGCCTTCGGATCCGCACGCCGGCCGCAGCAGCCATTTTGGGGGTGAACCCATGGAAGGAAGACCTTCTTTCTCTCTGTCTCTCTCACTGTCTAACTCTATCTGTCAAATAAAAAAGAAAGTCACTGTCACAGGTGGTGGATTAACATGCTGTACCACAATGCCAGCCCAGATTTAACCATTTTCTTTTAGAGCATTAGCCTTTTGAAAAATTGCTCCATGAGAGATTATCTTTTGGCTGGTGCTGTGGTGCAGTAGGCTAAGCCTGTGGTGCCAGCAACCCATATGGGTTCTGGTTAGAGTCCTAGCTGCTCCTCTTCCAATCCAGCTCTCTGCTCATGGCCTGGGAAGGCAGTGGAGGATGACTCAGTGATTGGGCTGCTGTACCCGCATAGGAGACCTGGAAGAAGCTCCTGGCTTCTGGCTTCGAATTGGCCCAGCTTCGGCCATTGCAGCCATTCGGGGAGTGAACCAGCAGATGGAAGCGCCCTCTCACTCTCTATCTCTCCCTCTTTCTCTAATTCTACCTCTCAAATAAATAAATAAATAACTTTAAAAAAAAAAAAAAGCAGATTGTCTTTCATATGAAACATTTTTTCTTAGTGTAGCATTTACTTTTTCACTTGTGTTTTTCCCTAAATAGACAGTTTCTTCTTTTTCTTCACTTCTTTCTTCTTCTCCTTCTTCTCCTCCTCCTCCTCCTTCTCCTCCTTCTCCTCTTTCTTCCTCTTCTTCCTCTTCTTCCTCTTCTTGATTGATTTTATTTATTTGAAAGGCAGAGTGACAGAGAAAGAAGGGGAGAGAGCTTCTAGTCACTGGTTCACTCCCCACGTGGTTGCAAGGTCAGGGTTGGGCCAGGCCGAAGCCAGGAACCAGGGACTCCCCCAGGTTCTCCCTTGTGGGTTGCAGGGGCCCAAGAGTGGGGCCATCACCTGCTGCCTTGCCAGGCATGCCAAACAGGGATGTGGATTGCAAGCAGAGCCTGAAGGGCTTGAACCGGCGCTCTGCTGTGTGATGCTGGCGTTGCAGGTGGCGGCTTCACCCGCTGCGCCACCGTGCTGGCCTGCGGTCGCCACTTTGACTCAGTGCTGCTGATCCCTGCTCTCCTACCGATCCCGTCAGAATCTTGGGGTGGTGTCTGGACAGGACTGGCAGGCTTATCCGGGGGCTCGCCTCAGAGTTCCTTCAAGTCCTGACACCTTTGAGGGCAAGGAGCATGCATTTGGCAGTGATGTGGCTGTCTCTTTCTATTGGGAGATAGGACATTGAGTACCAAGACGAAGGGTGTGGAAAATCATTTTTCAGAGAGGAAAGGAGGACAGGCTAACTCTTCCCACCAGGAATTGTGGTGAAACTCAGGAGGAAACAGCGTGGTGATGCAGGCCTGGCAGTAGCACCAGCCCCGCCAGCCCCTCCCAGGCATGGAAATCACCTCGCCAATGCCAGGCTGTCCTGGGTGGGGGGGCCCAGATGTCGGGAAGAACTTTCATTGTTCTATTTGAAAGGTCGAGTGACAGGAGGAGGCAGAGACATCTCTCATCATTTGGTTCACTTCCCAAATGGCTGCAATGGTCAGGGTTGGGCCAGGCCGAAGCCAAGAGCCAGGAACTCCATGCAGGCCTCCCACGTGGGAGGCAGGGGCCCAAGTACCTGAGCCATCACCTGCTGCTTCCCAGACCACGTTCGCAGGGAGCTGGATTGGAAGCAGAGCAGCCAGGACTCAAATCAGTGCTCTGACGTGGGATGCTGACACCGCAAGCAGTGGCTGGGCTGTGGAGCCACCACACTGGCCCCAGGCCTCTTCATTCTAGAAGGCGGAAGCTCAGGGCCAGAGAGGTCAAGGCCACCAGGAAGTTCCTTCAGTCACGGGCATGGTCCTCGAGACCCTCGGCTCCATGGATGTGGAGTCTGTGCGTGGGCTGTGCGCTCTCCTGCCCGCCATGAGCGGCGATGGATCGGAGCGTGGACTCATGTCCGAGGACTGTGCTGTCACCCCGCTCTGTCTGTACACAGTTCTCCTCGGGTCCCACTGGGGCTGCTGTTGGAGGTGTCTCACTGGGAGAGGAAAGGAAGAAACGTAAAGGCTGCCGTTGAGTCTTCAACCTGGGGACCGGTGCTGTGGCGTGGCGGGTAAAGCTGCCACCTGCAGTCCCGGCATCCCATATGGGCGCCAATCCATGTTCCGGCTGCTCCACTTCTGATCCAGCTCCCTGCTAATGTGCCTGGGGAAGCAGCGGAAGATGCCCCTGCACCCGTGTGGGCGATCTGGAAGAATCTCCTGGCTCCTGGCTTCAGATTGGCCCAGCTCTGGCTGTTGCAGCCATCTGGGGAGTGAACCAGCAGATGGAAGACCTCCTTCCCTCTCTCTCTATCTACCTCCCCCCACCCCCCCCGTAACTCTCCTTTCAAATAAATGCATCTTAAAAAAAAAAAAAAGTAAAAATTCTGCCTCCTGGCCGGCGCCGCGGCTCACTAGGCTAATCCTCTGCCTTGCAGCGCCGGCACACCGGGTTCTAGTCCCGGTCGGGGCGCTGGATTCTGTCCCGGTTGCCCCTCTTCCAGGCCAGCTCTCTGCTGTGGCCAGGGAGTGCAGTGGAGGATGGCCCAAGTGCTTGGGCCCTGCACCCCATGGGAGACCAGGAGAAGCACCTGGCTCCTGCCTTCGGATCAGCGTGGTGCACTGGCCGCAGCGCGCTGGCCATGGCGGCCATTGGAGGGTGAATCAACGTCAAAGGAAGACCTTTCTCTCTGTCTCTCTCTCTCACTGTCCACTCTGTCAAAAAAAAAAAAAAAAAAAAAAAGCTTTGAAAGAAGTGTGCACTTGACCCAGCAGCTGCGATGCCTGTGTCCCATAGGAGAGAGCCTGGGTGCAACCCAGCGCCAGCTCCCTGGGACGCAACAGGCAATGATGGCTCAGGTGATTGGGTCCCTGCCACCCACATGGGAGACGTGGAATTGAGTTCATGGCTCCCGGCCTCAGCCCCTTCCAGTTCCAGCTGTTAGGGGTATTGATTGGGGAGCAAACAGGTGGATCAGAGATTCCTTCTGCCTGTCTCTCTCTGCCTCTGTCTCTGCTTCTTGAATAAATCTTTAAAAAATGAGTTGTACCTTGAAAGCAGTGATAATTTAATTAGCAGCTTCAGGAAGAGACAGCTACTTTTATAGTAGAGTGACTGAGGCTACCTCCCAAGGATCCTATGGAACTGTAATCTTCCTTCTAGGTAAATCAACACAATGCAAACAGAAATCTTGGTTTCTTGAACTTATCTTTTCGTCTTGGTTTGCCTTTGACAGGATATCATCACAGATCCGTTCCAGCTTGCAGGACAGCCTGACGCTGTGAAGTCCAGCTGTGTCCCTGACGCCGCTGGGGGCTGCTGTGGCAAAAAGAAGAGGTGCTGACCTGGCCGGGCTGGGAGCCCACCAGTGGGCAGAAGGCGCGAGAGCCAGGCGCACCTGCGTTCAACCTGCTTTTCCCTGTGGCACAAACAATAGGAAGGTATAAGTGGCAAAATAGAGCTATTCTCTGAATCACTGGTAAAAATAAGTGAATCATTTTTTGGAAAGTATTAATTAAAATTCACAGAAAATCACCAGAAGCAGAGTTAAGCAAAATTCTTTGAAGTTTTGGTGCCATCTAGTGGCCTGGAATGGAACTCCAAGGCTCCGGAAGTAGCTGTGGGTGAGGGTCCTGGGAGAGCCCTCCAGTGGGACTCGTGCTGGGTTCCTGGGCTTTCCCATGGTTGCTGCCTGAGCATAGCTCTGTGAGACCTCTAACTCTTTTAAAAACGACCCAGCTCTCTTCCTGATCCCACGGAGCTCTTCTCCAGGTAGTCACTTTGTCCCCTGGTACCCTGAGCACCTTCCAGCGCCTTGCAGCCTCTACTTAGCTGCTGACCTTGTGATCTGGTCAGCACACCCCCCACCAAGGTTACTGGGAGTGTGGTGGAAATGGAAGTTTGCTTTTTAAAGAATTATTTGTATTTGAGAGAGAGAGAGTGTTAGTCTTCCATCCACTAGTTCACTCTCCAAATGGGCTGGGCCAGGCCAAAGCCAGGAGCCAGGAACTCCATCTTGGTCTCCCACATGGGTGCAGGGGCCCAGGTATGTGGGCTGTCTTCAGCTGCCTTCCCAGGTGCATTAGCAGGGATCTGGATTGGAAGTGGAGCAGCCAGGACTCAAGCCGATGCTCATGTGGGATGCTGGCATTGCAGGTGGTGTCTTTACCCACTGTGCCACAGCACCGGCCTGCAGGGAATGTAAGTTTTGTATTCAGCCTTCTGCTGCTGAGTGAGCCTTGCTTGGATGGACAGCCCTCCCTGTCCCTTTCCCCGGGCGGGGAGGGGGGGAGGGGAGCGTGCCAGCTCCTCCCTTCCTGCAGGTGCAAGGCAAATCAATCTGGAGCAGAAGTGTTCTGCCCTGATATGACTCAGTTGCCTCCTAGGGCCACATGATGCCTCATATATACTGTCCAGAGCCAGAGTGGCCCGCAAGGAGGCTGGTCCATCACTGATCTGGGCACCTCCTAAGCCAGACTTGGGGTCTGCTGCCTTTTCCTCCTTGGTGGAATGAAATGAGGCAGGAGGCCGAAAGCAGGAGTTTTTCCCAGGTCTAGCCCTGCGGGCGAGTTGCTTGGCCCCAGGCACATTTGTCTGCTTTCGGATTCACTTTCCCACCTGCAGAATTGTTGGACCTGAGCGAGTGCAGAGGAGCGCCACACATGGATAAAATCTGATGGTCCTTTATTGCCAGTGGGGGAGAGCGGGCCCAGGCCCTAAAGAACTCTTGACCCTGAAGCCCAAAGCAACAGGGTTTATAAAGGCAAAAACCACAACATCGGGAGGGGAATACATGGTTACTGGCATCAAACTACCTAAAGCCTGTGTGAAACTAATATAAATTATAATCTTGACAACACCAGTTACAATCTTAACAATTTCAATTATAATCTTGACATGAATCCAGGTATTAGCTTAAATCATATGTAGGACATAGAAAAATTACATTTTTATCGTTAACCCCGGTGCAGCCTATCCGCTCCCAAGCTTGAGCAATCATGCTGGGGGTTTCTGTGCTCTGCCAAGTGTGATGCAGGTTGCCAGGTGTGATGTAGGGGACTGCTATTGTCCGAGTGCTTTAGATCAAAGTTTCAGACCAGAGTCTCCCAGTGGCGGGGGAGGGGTGTGCTTTCTCAAGATGGAGTCTCAGGTGCTCCCAAATGGAGTCCCTGCTGTCAAGGTGTTACTTCATTCCCCTCTTTGTGTTTTGACAATAATCAAATCCTTGATTCAGCCACATCATATGCATCAGGACGTATATTTAAAGCAGAGTTAATAGGTGTATATATATGTGTGTGTGTGTGTGTGTGTGTATGAGTTTATATATATACATGAGTTTAACAGAAGCTGTACTTTGTCTAGAGAAATTTAGTAACTGGTTAGGAATGTAGGGGCCCACAGTCAGGACAAGCCCTTTAAGAGACGCTAGCTGGCCGTGTAACAGGTCGACAGAAGACTGGCGCTGGCCGATGCGGGCGTCTGGGAAGCACTTAGCTCACCCAGAACCCAGGCTGCTGTGCTGAGGGCAGCAGTGCCCGCCACACTGAGCCCAGCTGGGACCAGAACTCACCTGGGGCCTTCTGGTGACAACTGGAAGGGGAGGTGCTAAGAGCTGGTGTTTGCTTCGGTGGACCCAGCCCCCCTGTTGCTAGTTTTGGGTACAGAATATCACAGTGGGGAGAGTTGGGGTCAGGTCTCAGAGCAAATCCTTTGTTCACAGCCTGTATGTACATTCTGTTAAAGCCTGAGGGGCCCACAGACACTTAGCCCAACCAGACAGCCTCAGCCCTCCCCCTCTTTAAATCCACACCCCACTATTGTAGAGACCCGGGGTGTCGATCTCATCTTGGCTGCTTCCTGCTGACAGGGCTCTTTGTCCTGGGGATCCCTTAGGGTGTGGCGTGGGGAGTGGCAGTCACAGCAGGGTTCCAGCAGGAGGGGGCCTCTGAGGGGGCTGCGGTGTCAGCTTGTAGAAACTGCTTTCATCCGGGGTTTCATGTGCATGGCCATCTAGAGCTGTGCTGCTTTGAATCTGGAGAAAACAAATCTAACAAGCAGATGAAATACGCAGGGTCTAAAACAAAGGACAGTCATTTTTAGAGGACCTATGAAAGCTGCTGTCCAAACCAGGAGGGACAGGGGGAGGTGTTGTGTGTGTGTGTGTTTAATTTAGAGGCAAACAAACTGACAGGAGGGACTTGATAATTACATGGCGTGCAGGAAGAGACATCATAAAGGAGGTATGAACCTCCTTAGGGAAGGCACCCTGTTGACTCCCATTGCCTAGCTGTCCTGGGAGCAGAGCTGGCCTGAATGGGAGATTAGTACAGAATAGGCAGGATCTCTCTCTCTCTCTCTCTCTCTCTCTCTGATCTATTTATTTATTTGAAAGAGTTACAGAGAGAGGAGAGGCAGAGAGAGAGGTCCTCCATCCGCTGATTCACTCCCCAGATGGCCGCAATGGCCGGAGCTGCACTGATCCGAAGTCAGGAGCAGGAGCTTCCTCCGGGTCTCCCACATGAGTGCAGGGGCCCAAGGACTCCACTGTTTTCCCAGGCCATAGCAGAGAGCTGGATCAGAAGTGGAGCAGCCCAGTCTTGAACTGGCACCCATAAGGGATACCGGCACTTCAGGCCAGCGCGTTAACAGGCTGCACCACAGCGCTGGCCCCAGCAGGTTCTCTTTAAAGCAGACCTACAGCTCTGCCTGCAAGGTTACTGACCCTAGCCTGCCCCCCGATGGCAGTGGTCACTTTGGAAGCTAGGCAGAGTGAAGGGCTTTTCAGCTTAAAGCCTACAAGGTCTGCAGTTCTGACCTAGGAGTCCTTTGACACCAGGGCAGTTCCGTTTCCAGTGACCCAGCTCTGGGCTGGCAGGGCTGCCAGGGCCCTTGGGAGACTGGCTTCTGCCGTGACTGCTGTCTGTCCCAAGCTCTGGCTTTCCACCTGGAAAACCAGTGCCATGTAGGGCGGACTGGCCTTGCTGGGCCTCCTTGATGGCAGATCGCGTGGAAAGCTGGTATTAACTGGCTGGCACCTGTCCTTACATTGCTCCTGCTGTCCAGCTCACTCCTCTTTTTTCCGGTTCTCGTTAAAGTAGACCACAGAGGAGGCCTTTAGGATGTTAGCCGAGGGGGTGCCCAGTCCCATCACTAATCTCTGGTGGCCTGGGCTAGAAATGTGTTGTCACAGGCATGTATAAGATCAAACATGAAGACCGCTTTATCCAAACCATTTTGAACCAATTAGTAAGACTTTGTATCTCTCCGTTAGTTTGGTTTGAAAAGGGAGGTTTTGCCTGTTTACTGTATCCATGGCAAAATAAATCTAGCTGTTACATGTGGCCAGACATGACGACAGAAAAATGTTAGCCATTACTTTTATAAGGTCTGAAGATCAAATTGTATATCCTGATGGAGAATTTAGAATAGAATCAGTTTCTCATCTTGAAGAGAATATAGGCTTTTTAGATTACTTACTGTCAATAATTTAATATTAAGTGAAAACTTAGCAAGCAAATTTGTCAAATAACAACTTATGAAAGTATTCACCAAAAAGTCTAAAGTCTTTTATAAATTAGAAGAGTACCTGTAGTTGGAAGTATATGTTGAATATCTAGCATAAATGTAACTCGTTTGACCAGCAAACCCAAGCATAAACATGTCAATGACTTCAAAACATGATTTTTGGTTTCTCTGTACCACCAAGTTTAAAACACCTGATACAGAGGTTTATTTAGGTCACGTGAACCAAAAATGTATTTTAGGTTAACTTAGTTTAAATTTATGAGCAATCTTATATCTATAATATCTGTAAGTCAATTAAAACAGAGCTCTTAATACATTTTTATGCATACATACAATATATACACATATAATATAACATACATTACAGGATAGAACAATAAAGCAGTCTTAGTAACAGCTTTTTTTTTTTTTTTTTTTTTGGACAGGCAGAGTTAGTGAGAGAGAGAGACAGAGAGAAAGGTCTTCCTTCCGTTGTGTCACCCCTCAAATGGCTGCTATGGCCAGCGCACTGTGCTGATCCAAAGCCAGGAGCCAGGTGCTTCCTCCTGGTCTCCCATGTGGATGCAGGGCCCAAGCACTTGGGCCATCCTCCACTGCCTTCCTGGGCCACAGCAGAGAGCTGGACTGGAAGAGGAGTAACTGGGACTAGAACCCGGCACCCATATGGGATGCCGGCTCTGCAGGTGGAGGATTAGCCAAGTGAGCCACAGAGCCAGCCAAACCTGTTTTTTAAACCTCTTTCTTTCTTAACCTTCCTTTCCAAGAACAGTTTTATACTTATGACCCCTTTTTATCTGATTTCTTGATTTATATTGAAATAATCCTTTTAAAATCTGTAAATTAAGACATTTTTTAAAAGATTTTTATTTATTTATTTTAAAGTCAGAGTTACACAGAGAGAGGAGAGGCAGAGAGAAAGAGAGAGGTCTTCCATCTGATGGTTCACTCCCCAGATGGCCGCAACGGCCGGAGCCACGCCAATCCGAAGCCAGGAGCCAGGTGCTTCTTCTGGGTCT